GGGGCGGCTATGCTGTAGCACTGTGTAGCTGACCTGAACTAATCGGTCTACCTTGGGGGTGAGTTCAGGTCATACGCAGCAGGCTCAGTCCAGCAACCGTTCTGAACCCTTGTCACCCATGCAAATAATCCTAAACAAGATTTTGAAAAGATGAGACGATCACATGATCACATGCAAGAGCACTGGTAACGAGGCGATTTGCTGAGTGATTTGGACCAATTACATGACATCACCGCAGCTCGTTAAGGTGTCAACCACGACCAGATTGAACATTCACTTGAACCGATTATGACACTGATCATTGACTCCGTTCACACGGCTTTCCTTGACTAGGTGGACATTAGAATACGAAGTATCGCATGCTTCCTTAAAACGCCGACGCAAACCACTTCTGACGCGGCCTCGAGCGTCTTTCGTGATTCATGCTCAGGAACCTTCCGGCTTTCTGCGCTGGGTGCTGGTCATCCGTTTTTTTTTTTCGTTTTTTTTACAAATGTACTCCGCCTCTGAACCGCGTTGTGTGCACGTGCTCAGTAAGCATATTTCCGTCCAACACCAGAGGGAAAAGATGTTGGATCACCCGAGATTTCCCGCCTTTTTCGAGCAGCATAGCCTCATCACGCTAGGCCCCACTGGCGACTTTCCGGCCGGCAAACGTGTGCAGGCTTTGCTGCGGCCACGCGTGCGCCTGTCGGAGCACGATTGGCCGGCGCACGCTACGTCTTCCAAGGTCATCACTCGGGTCACGCCCCATTGTGTCGCCGGCCGAATGTGACTATAAAGATAGCGTATCAGGTGAAGCACAGTAGAAGCGTGCCACAGGCGGGAAATGTGTTCCTGCCCACAGCCAGGAAATTCCATAGACGAAAGTACCGAGGCGTCTTGTGTTCAAAGTCCTTAGTTAAAAAGGCAAGATTAGGTGCAGTTCTAGCCTAAGGGAACAAAGACATTTCCCGCACGACTGAATGACAAAAGAAAAAGGTCAGTGGCTGTGAGCATATACTTATAACAATGTTGCCAGCGGATGATGCGCATACCACAGACATCCAGTCTACCCCTTACACAATATGCCCCCTCAAAGCCTCGATGTCAGACCACAGGTCACCGACATCGTCCTTAATTCCTGGAATATGACGCCCAAAAACATCCAGCTGACAGCGTGCTACGTCTCCGCCCATACCCTGGACAGTACTTACGAAAAGATGTCGGCAGACTCCGGTGCCTACGCCCTTTTCTTTACTGCACGGTCATGGAACAGCATGAACCCACTGTGCCGAATGAGCTGTCAAAACAAAAGGTGCCCCAAAAAGCGACAGCTATGCGTGATGGCACTTGTCGATATGAATTATTAGCCAATCAGCGATCTAAAGTTTTAAGTCAACCGCATATCTCTTACGACATCGGAAGCCTGTCCAGAGCCCACTGAAGCAAAAGCGGTGTGGAGTACCAGTTCTTTTATCGATGCCTTGTGGTCAATCACCACAGAAACTGGATCTTCACAGGGCTTGAATATGTGGCAGCGCCATTTCCTTTAACCAAACACAGGATTCGACTGGCGTGCCGATCCGTAGCAGGGGTTTAGAAACGTTGACGCATTACGCAATGTTAGACATCGGAGCCTCCCCTCCCCCCCCCCCCCCTCGGAACTGGCCAGACCCTGTCCTAAGATATCTTTATCAAATACCACGCTCGTTATTTGTGCAAGAGGGGTACCGCGGCATGCATGTAAAGTACGCAAGGTGCCAGGCCAAGTGCAAGATCATGCATTGGATCAAAGTGACCTTATGAAACTTAAAGCATTTTGGGTTCTTTGATTGTAGGAGAGATATGTAAGAAACACCAAAAAGTACGAGTGAGCTGCTTCATAACTTATCTTCAATCACTACTTCGTGAAAGAAGTTATATTGTATGATTGATGCTTCTCTAGAGTGAAGAGACTTTCAGACTATGGCTTTGCACTACCTGATTTTCTCTGGACTCTGCATTGCGCTCCTAATCACTACACTACAGGTACCCTCGAGGTCGAATATCTTTTGTGTAGGAAAAGAGGCATTTTATAGTCATAAAGCGATGACAGAGATAAAAGGTGGAGTTATACTGCAGTCATCCCAGTTACTCCAAATGATAGGACTCGACCGGAATCCGCCATGCTGTTATACATCACATGATGGGTCGCGAGCTGTACAGGTACTCCGACTGGCCTAGCAGCCGAGGTTGCAGCATGGGCCGGCCCTCGGCCAAGCCGTTCAAGTGCTCCGACTGGCCTAGCAGCCGGGGTTGCAGCATGGGTCGGCTCTCGGCCGAGGGCCGCAATCAGGTCTGGAAGTCGGACGTGGCGAGGTGATCGAGCAAACGTGGCTAAGTGGCCATTGGGTGTGATGATTGATGGACACCCGAACTCTTTTAGTTAGCAGGCTAGCAGACGACCTCCACTTTGACGTCAGTATTCGGTAGAATGGTCACGAGAACCTGACAATTGACACCAGGCGACCAAACCGATATCGGCAATCGTCCGACAGAGAGTTGCAGCTTGCACCCCATCCTATGGCTACCAGCCAAGGTTTCACTGACAGCCTCTAACAATGGCACGCAGCAGCTCATACTTTTGACCCTTGAAGTCGTTTGGTCCAACAACGCCTGAGCCCCAAAACATCGACCCTCTCTCGACTACCGGAACCCGGCTTCGCAAATCGACGCCAAACAAAATGATAATGATGCCTAACAGAAGCCGGGATTCGCTACCTCCGCCCCTTTCTCAGAAAGACGGGGCGGCAGGACCTATCGTCCCTAAGGCAGGGCCTGGCAAACCCCGTGGTTGACCCCGCCTGCGCCCCCGCTGGCGCGTCAAACTGTCAATGGTTGGCCGACCCTACAGCGCCACCTGCGGTGCACTGGGGTCACCACACATTCGGGCCGCAAGCAGAGGTGGCGTGAGTGCATCGCCGTAAGCGACCCACGGCTCTGCCTAAGTGGAGACACCACCTGTGTGGTATGCGGCCTAGCTGGGTTCATCATTTTCAACAAGGTTCATGATCCCGAAAATGTATATTTTGTCCGTTTGTGTGCGTAAATCGCGAAACAGTGTCGAATTGATTGATTCACAACTGGCTATATATCGTATTAGCTTTCATGTTGGTCTGCTCGGCTCGCAACGGCGTCAAATTCAAGATTCACAGATTCACAACCTACTGAGCAGCCTTCCAGATTGGGACTGGTTGTAATGAGGTTAAACCGTTGAACTGGCAGGCTTACCGTATGTCCGGACGTTTATGAGCATTGGGATGGACCATGCTTTCCTCACGTCGCTTCAAAGCAAAACCTCAGCTATTCACCGCATGCATTTTTATGAAAGGCGCATACTACTGCGGGAAGACGCTCACACTATTGCTAGCCAGCGTTTGAGTCCCTTTAACACGCGTCCAGTAGCCGGGTTAAATATGAGATGCTAAATGTGGGTTGAAGGAATTTATGTTCGCCAAGATATTAAAGGAAGGACACTTAGATGCATAAACTCACAATGCTGGTATGGCCCTATGTGAGCTTGCCTTTGAGAGATTTGTTTATCTCTAGGTTGTGAGCTTTGGGTAAACTACGGCAAAACAAAGCAACTTATAAATCAGTATCGGAAGCTCCCCCAGACGTCCTCTCACAAGCAACTTTACCCTCGATGTGTGTCCTAAGAGAAGGCCGACCAGGATAATTTTAGGTCAGTGGCTTCACCTGACTGTTAAAAGGTCATATCTGAATCATCATCATCAACTACCCTAGCCGGCGAGTTTTTCCAAGCGATTGATCCAGGCCATTTTCGGTCCGTTATCTAGGTTAGGTTAGTGAGAGTTGATGTAGGTTATTTTGAATTCGTGCACTCCCCTGAATTCACAATGTTAACACAATGAGCTTGTAGATGTCTCTGTGATCAATACATTTGAAAAGAGTGTCAAAGTATACTCCATTAAAGACATTTTCCCGTCAACAATATTATGGCTTATCAGGGATGTTAGAAAGCATATTTGTTGTCGTGATCTGAATTCATACAGGCCAAGTGCTAAGAAATAATAGACTAATCGAAAGATTTGTAACACAACATCTGCAAACAATAAGTTCAAATATCTTTAGGTTTAGAACTAGTTTTATATCAGCCTGTTATTTTCCTGAGCCAAAAACATCTTAAAACTGTTGTCCACAACCCATTTGATTACGTTACATACGCTGTTGTAAAAATATACATTCTAAGCCATGGTAAAATCAGCTGGCACACCAAAAAAGCACCTTTCGTTACCCAAATGCATACATTGGTATCAATTCGATCTGAACGCGGAAGTGGCCATGAATCACAAATAAATCTGAGCTCACTTGTGGTACTTGTGCGCGATGAAGAATGAAGCTAAAAATCGTTCCAGGCCCTTGTCCTATCCCGCTGGCATTAAAAACCACTTAATAATGGCTCATGCCCCACACACACACAGACATACGCGCGCGCATGCATCACTACCGCCACCACTACTGCCGCCAATATGTCTGGCCGCAATATTACGAAAACGGAGGAAATGTTGCGGCGTCACTACGCAATACTGCTGGAAAGCTTTTGGAGAAAACCGTAGTGGGTCAATTTGATACGTTCCGTGGCGCCTTTTTACTCTTTGGACGACGGCGAATCCTGCTTCGTCTCCTATTTGACTATCGCGACCCGGAAAAACCAATCGATCAAAATACCAAACTCAAAATAATTTTGACCTAAACTCAAAATGATCAAAATAAGAAATCAAAATCAAAGGTAGTATTGCGCGTCGCAGCCATTCAACGATCACGTTACGTGTGGCCAACATTAATTTTATTAATTATGTATCGTCTTTTGGTTTGCGTACCATTTACATATTTCTCACGCAGATTGCCTATCTTGATATACCTGTGTAACCAAAGCACACAGAACAGCTTTTCACGTGATTGCTCCCTGCAAATTGTTGCGAAAATGTTTATGTCTACCGTCTCCCCGGTGAAGCTGTAAAATTGCGTAGAGTTGTTGGGCTTCCTCGTTGGAAGCCGCTTTTGTATATTTAGTTGGAAAGTTTTGATCGAAGAATATTTTGGAATCGTTGCCGCACTTTATCCGTACCTTTTATCAATATACCACACTTTATTACCATATCACACTCAAACCGAACTTGATCGTGTGGTTCGTCATATTAGTCGGCTCCGCCAATAGAAAACCTAAATCATCTTAAGCCATCTAAACAACGTTCCACGACCTATCAAACGCCCCTTGGGCTGACAGCCGCCAGTGAGATCTGGCCTGTAATCGGTCAGCGTTCGGGTCTTGCTAAGACAGGTCACGCTCCTGCTGGGACCAAGGTCGCTGGTGTGTGGACGCAGCCTCTGCGAGCCCCCAGCCTGCGTTCACGAGATCGCGTCATGTCATCGGAAGCCGGGACTACGCAAGAGCCGAGGTGAGGCTGATGACGCAACGTGGTGCGGAAACATGGGGCACGTTATATTGCATGTAACTGCAGGTGCCATAGCTCGCAGGTTTTAGTGCGTAGTCTAGCTTTATTGCACACCTAAAAACGTCACATGTATGGAAGTGATGTCAATATGTACGCCGATGTGGCTTATGTAGATGACTACAGCATATTCGATACCATGGCTGGATTGTTTTTCGTGGATGAATGGAGCATAGTGCACAAACCGGGGCTGGTTGTCATCAGCTTAGAAAGCTTATGCATTTTATCAACTCATTGCTGTTGGTATGAAATTGTTCCGGCGCCCAGAGAACGGTGCGCAAGATATAGGCTATTTTCCGTCATCACCTGTCTATCTGGCCTGGGTGTGCTCTCTTACGCTGCTGTTGATGTACGTATGTTCGCTGGTGTGCCCCGGCTATCTACTGTCTGGGCATGGGGCGCCTTTTCCATAAATGCAAGGAGGCCCTCTACTAATACCTGGACAGCCCTCGCTTAGCCTTGGCGAGACCCTGCACTAGGATTGTAACGTTGATATTTCCCGAGGGCAAGGTAGGCCTAGCTAGGTGAGGTAGGCTGGGCTTGATGTTGTCAGTGACCAGAGCTCGGGGCGAAGGGGCCCGGTCAAGACCAAACCGGTGTTCATCATTATACGAGTTGCCCACTAGTCAAGGCTGCATAAGTAATGTAAAATCACGGTCACTCGATTTACAGCTTACGTGGAATTGACGGCCGATGACGTACTCGCTAGAGATCTAGATTTCACACTAGATAAGACGCATTGTCGGCTAGATTGTTGGGCTAACGTGTCATGTACCCTAAGCTACCTATTGCCCATTGCAATGATCATCATAGCATTGAGATACTTTAAATCAACATTCAATTAACATTTTTAGAACACTCATAAAATAGCTCTATATCACAGCACAGGAACCGTTTTGTAACCTCAGTGTTACCAATGAATATTGCCGCTGGTCTTTACTCAAGCAAACTCACATACTGTTGGAAATACCTAGCTGCAGTTACCAGTCGTGCACGGCGAATGGATCAATGCACACCGCACTGCACACCCCAAACCTTAAGCCCGTATCGGCCAATCAGAAGTTATTACAGAAGCCGCGCAAAAGGCCGCGGCGCAGCGCATGAATTTTTACATTTAAGTCTGTAACTAACCATCTTGGATATATCAAGGCAATTTTAAAAGCTCTACAGTGCTAAGGTCGTTAACATAACAATCGACCTACAAATATTTAACATATCTCTGTGTAATTTCCATTACTTATTCAGGCTTTTAAAGGGGTATCTGAGCCGGAGTGGTCGGGTGAGAAGATTACAGCAGTGAGCTAATTTCCCTTCCCCTCACTGCCAACGTTGCGTTCTTCCTTTGGGCACTGGTTGAACAAAAATCCTCAGAACTACATGTCTTCCCTGAACTTAGAACTCACATTGCCCCTGCTGGAATCCCATCTACGTAAATATAAGCTCCCAGGATAATGACTAGTACATGCCTGGCTGTCGTTTTTGACCTGCATCTGAGAACCCACACAGCATGACCTTAATACCGTTAATTCCGGACATAGTTGCGTCGGCCCAAGATTGCAACCAAATTAATGTTAGACATGGCTATCGTGGTGCACGGAGGGAGCAGTCATGGCTATCGTGGTGCACAGAAGGTGCAGTCATGGCTATCGTGGATCACAGAAGAAGCAGTCCAAAAATCACCGGAGAAATATTTGCACTCCTAACATTTGTTGGAAAGTTTCAGATACAAAGCCATGCATGTGCGCGAAAGTGATCCAGACATTTCTATTGCCAACACCATGCTAGGTGGGACTGCATCTGTCTTCCCGGCCCATTCAGCCTGAAGAAATCCTGGTGCCTCTCCCACATTGAGTGCATTCGCTGTCGCCTTCTCATTAGCTGCATACTCGAGCATTTCCCGTCGATTGAGCTGGCCATTCGTTCATACGTGTCACCGCGATGACACGTATGAACGAACGAGTGTATAAACGAACCTGTGCACCGGCTTGAAGCAACCCGTATGTGGACCGCAAGTCCGAAACGGTCTGCTGGGGTGATAATCATATCAAAATTGGTTTAAGCCGCTCTTGTTGGGTGCAAGGCATAGTAAAGTGACACGGGCTGGCATTGTAATTTGTGAATAGCCACAGCTGTCTAGACCCGGATTTCGCTGGAACACGTACCAGCAAACGTCTCCAGACTCATTTCGCGCGAAAAATGGCTGAGAAGTACTCCAAAATGATTTTTGAGAAGCCCGTATTGGGCCACCTGTACGCGAGCAAGTATGGTAGCAAGCGAAGGTGAAGGGCCCATGAGCAGGCACAATTAATTTTTCGCTGATGTGAAGGGTGGTGGTTGGAGAAAATTTTGGGGCTTATTACGCTGTCTAGAGGTCCTGCACTGTTACCGGAACGCTACATGATCACTTGCACGGCCAAGCCCTTCACCCTGCACGTTAAGCTAAGCTAACGTACAAGCCCTTCGCTAAGCTAAGCACGTTGGCCTTGATTCCTTTGCATTTGCTCGGATGGCCCTACGCTGTTGTCGGGGCCCCTTTAACCAGCCTGCCTGGATACTCTCGTCGACCAGAGGCCCTCCGCGAATTATTTCCGTCCACCCGAAAGGCTTTATGTATTCCTGGGGCCTGGGGCCCATATATAAACCTGCCGTGCCGGGGTCTTCTCGGTTTTCAGGTGCCCTTCACATTGGTCTGGGGCTCTTTCCACTTGCTCGGGAAGCCCTGCGCTGTTGCGTGGTCCGGTATAAGCTAACACACTGAGGTACTCGATGCTCAGGGGCTCTTCGCACCGATCTAGGGCTCTTTCTCTTTTATATCGTTATGCGGAGGACCCTTTGCTAATACCTGGGCCATTTCTGTTAACCTGCCTGGGCACTTTTGGTAGCACAGGGGCCTGCTACAATGGTCTTGGGTACCTCACATTTGCTCGGAGGACTCCAACCTGTTGTTCGGAGCCCTATACGTTCGTCTATCAAGGTACTCTTGATCGCCGAAGGACATCAATTTATCTATACCGGTTTTGGGTTATTCCCGTTTGCCCAGAGGGACTTACGCTCTGGCTGGGGCCCTATATGTTAACCTGTGTGGGCACTCCCAATCGTTCAGGGGCCCACCTAAATGGCCGTGGGTTATTCTCGCTTGCTCTAAAGACCTTTCATTGACGACGGCAGCTTCTTTGTTGGCTTGCCCCGACACTCTCAATCGCTCAGATGCCGCTACTTTCGCTGTCGGGTTTTTCCATTTTATCGGCGCACCTTCACCCTTGATGGAGAACTAAATATTTATCGGTCGGGGCACTCTTGAGCGCTCCCGGGTCCTCCATAGTGGCCATGGTCCCTTCTGATAAAATTTTAAAAGTCTTACCATGCTGCCGAAAGCCTGACATGTGCTTGCGAGCGCCAGTGCGTTTGGCGTGCTGGTGCGTACGGACCCGGCTAAATAGCATCACGTACACAAGTCCGTGACCTACGCGATGATGATTTTCCCTGGCGCCGTGGCCTTGGAGCAGCAGTCGGATGTGCAGCGATGGATTTTTTTTGGCATGGATTGGCAAACGTAGTTTTGTGCATCGACCGTGTGGAATACGTCATTTCCGTTGCTTATAGCATTTGTGACGTTTAAGTTACTTGTGCAGCACGTTCTCAACGCATTTTAAGTGCTAAGACATGCTGCACTGCTTCATAACAGCCAAACCAAAAACTCTGCATAAGTCATGAGCCATCAGCTGATGATATCGGCTAGTCGGCTGCCCCCCCCCCCCCCCTCCCCTCCCCGAAGCTGGCTCGCCGTAAGTAAAGTAGCCCTGGAATCGAAAGTTGTCCTCGATTTTGATTGTATTTAGCAGCTGACATAATCTTATCATACAATTTCCAAAAACCTCAGCCTCAAAATCACGGCAGCCCCAAGATCTGGAGAAAATGACCGTGCTGTATGTGTTTACGTGCGCAGCACGCCTTGTTTTCTGTGGCTGCGCGTAGGAGTATGGGTTGCCGTATAGTAAAAAAGCATGCATAGGAATCTTAAAATTTACTGGCGGGGATGCGATGATACTTGGAGTCTCTAAATCTAAGCAGGTCAACAATGCTGCGTGCCACCCCACCCCACCCCATCCTCATCACCACCAATCATCCTCCCTTCACGACATCCTTCCTTCACCACATCCTGGATCCGCCACTGTCACTACATGACCACCCGAGCAGCATGCGAAACATGAGACAGGAAATGACGGCTGGGGCTAACGCGACCGACCGCTACCCTTCAGAAGGCGCCGTCGACGGCAGCCAATGGGGCGGCGCCGCTCGCGCTCACACCCGCCAGCCATCCAATCGTTCGCCCTCTGGCGGAGGCGTGGCGCTGAAGGGCGTAGCCGCGTCCCTGGCAGGGGACGTTTGTCCCGGCCCTGGCCTCTGGGTAACGTCTGCCTCCCTCCCCCCCCCCCCGCGACTCGCCCGTACGTCCGCGGGCTGCGCCGCGGGCGGTGGTTCCGAAGTTCGCCGAATGATGTCACGGGGGCGCTCCCTCGATGGTCATATAGCTGGGGTCGGCGCTGGCACGCGCCATTGAGTCACGGGAGGTGACGGGGGTCGGACGCGGGCACCACCAAGCCGGAGACGCTCACAGAACGTTGGCATCTGAATTGAATGAATAACGAGGAAAAGAAGGAAGTGTGAAAATGCCGTGCGACTTCCAGCTGGGTTTGTCTACGATCGACGAATTGCGCAAACTCAAAGACGACGAGCAGAAGATCGACAACAGGTGAGATGCCTTACCATGGCCACAGGCTGATGCCAGCAATGTGCTGTCAGCATCTTTGTCTTCCTAGTCAAGGTCACGGGAAACCTTGAGAAACACAGAGAAACCTTGGAACATTAGTTCACCACAGGATACTTTTCCCTACGAAGTGCCGCGCATGGTGAACTCCTGCCAAGCCACATCGCTGTTTATGTGCGCGAATTGACTGTTGTTACATTTGACGTTCCCTGTGATCACTGTGCGTAGAACGCCGGCTCGAGTTGAGTAGTGACTGAGTGATCGGGCGGGGATGAGCTTTTCTGTTGTGCACGTCGTGCATTTGTGGTATCTTGCTGGCTGCAGAGGTTAACAATCATGCGCCCCCTTATAACAAGCGTCATCGGATTTAACGGGCGGAGGTCTGTGGATGCAGTATCGAAGTAATGGTTGAACTTTGAACAGTGAATGCCCAATGTTTGTTCGATAGCATATATCACTTGACCAATACTTCCGGGTATGCTGTCGGTCGGTTATTGTCAACATGGTAAGTTCAAGCTCATAGGAATCCGGCGTTCACTGACAAAAGCATTGTTTAAAACCTGAGTGGTCGCCAGTGGTCAGCCTTTTCGCAATCATAATCAACGGAATATGTAAGGATGCTATAATTTACTGCTTTGACAATGGTGAGCGAAGCATTACAAAACGCATGATTTTTGATGGGCATTGCTGAGAACAAACAAGCCCATGCGCCTCTGTAGCTATCATGTCACAAGCTCTGTCCGTTTGGGACACAATGTCTTGCGTCCTAGATCGATTTTGGAAAGGTGACGTGCGTCGCTTTTCGGTCGGTTTCTGGCAAACGTAGAGGTTGGACAGGTTCCATGTTCGCTGTTTATGTTTGCAGTCGGTACATTAGCCTACATTGTGGACTCGATTTTTTGTTTTCGTTTGGTTTTGGTCGCTGATATTGTGACATAAATTATTACAAACGTCAAAAAGGTCAGATCTATGCCTTGCGCTTGATAGAAAGTGCTGATCTGCATACATTAGCCCATGCTTGCCGATACGACTGTCTGTTTTCTGCTCGGTTGGTGTTGGTAAGTTTCGTGACGCATCTTCGGTGGGTTGTGGAGCTTTGAGCGGGCCTCCATCCGGGTTGTCTAGCTATTTTGAACTTCAAAATGTTGCCTTTTGTCGCGCTAATCGAATGGTTGAGGTGAAATGGTGATGACATTGCAGTGCTGGAGTTAAAGTCGTCCGGTGATGCAGTTATCATGTTAATGTGTGATACTATATGTAACTCAAAGTTAAGAAATTACGTTTATCGCTGTCAAAAAATTTGTGAACCTGTGATAAGCGGTTACAGCGATATTGGCTGATAGAAGCTTTTGTGTTGAGCCGGGCCGGACCCGACCGCCTAACTTGGTTTGCGCACAGTAGTCCAATCAGGATTTCCTTTGCCCGGTACATTTCTCGCCGCCAAATAAGCTTTACGGATTACAGGGAACTTGCGTAATGACGTAGCTTAAAAATAACGGTGACGAGACGCCTTTCCTGGTAACCAGCAAGCTCAAAGCTCTATGACTAGCTGGGATAGTGCATGCTCAATCCTTAGCTTATTTCTGAACTTATCATTTGTAGTCCTTCTGCAAGGCTTTAGATTTTGTATACAGTTTTCTGAACTGCGTTAAACGTGCCCGCCCACACACCATAACGGAAGCACGTGGCTAAAAGTCACCACTGAACGGAAAAATTAAGGATGGTGTCGAATGCCCATCCTTCTCATGACACTTTTTCTAGCTAACAGAGATGCAAAAAATGCATAATGCATAATGTTTTTTCTATACTAGAGCCAACGTTTGTTACCTTCAGCGGTAGTCCTTAAAGCAGCACGTCCGCTGCCACTAAGGCTATGGTTGTCTCAACTGGTACAGAATCCAATTACTTTCATGAACATGGCTGCCTCTTTATGGCTATAGCCTGTAGATATCCCCAGGAAAAGCTCTCAAGGCTCTTAAACTCGTCATTTCCTTTGGGTTGATTGTTATCAAGAACCCGAATTGGTTCAAAAGGCGTCTTCAAAGGCCCAAAAACTGCTTTGGTTCAAAAAATGTTGCATATCACACCGGTGGCTAGATGTTCCAAAGTGAAATGGTGTTGGTGTGGCATTGGCTGATGTATCTCGTGTACGCTACAATGCTTATGAACTTTGTTCAGCTTTTCTTGCAAAATTTTGATCCTGTTCCAGAAGCTTAAACTTCTTCCGTCCTGCTGTCGTCAGCGATCTGGATTCAAAAACAATTCTGGAGCAAAAAACATTCGCAATCTACGGCTTTGGCCTACGTGAACTTTTTACAAAACTTTTTCATAACATTTAAGACGTCTTAAAATCAAAGCTACAAAATTTGTATCTGGGGGGTAAGCTTACAGAGGCTCTTTTTCTTACTGTCCCGGCCTGGAATGTTCTGCACTTCAACCCGTCTTCATGTCGCAGTTGTATTGATCTCAAGGGGTTGTGAATCGCAACTGTTTTTACACCGTCTGGTAGGAAGATGCTCTTTTTGCGCTTTCATTGCACACGACTGATCAAAATTTGAGCTTCCTGCATGATCCAGAGGCGGCTCCAGGGGTCCCCAGGCGTGTTGCCTGGGGAGAGTGATGTTCAGCGTTGCGCAGTGATTCCATGTCAAGACTGGTCATATTTAGGTCACGTAGCATGCATATGGGCTGCCAGGGCGGATCCAGGAGCAATGAGGGGAGGAGTTTGGAGTTGCTTCATGAGCTGTGCTCACGGGCTTTTGGATCTTACCCGGACCCCAGCTGCGCAGTATGCTTGGTTCGGCCATCGGTCATATCAAGTCACGCACGCTCCAGCCCGAGGTCGCGCCGTCCGCCGCTGCCCGCGCCCCATGTGCTTCGATCGCGCATTGCGTCACCCGCCCCGGTCAATACCGACGCGTGAGGCGCATGCCCCGAGGGCGGCGGCGCGGCGCTCGCGCGACCAATGACAGCGTCCGAGGCGGGGGGTGGGTCTGAAAGTCAGATGAAGGTGACTGGTGCCCCGGGGCGATCGTGCGTTTTCCAGGTACCCAGCTGACATTATGGAGGCTGGTCGGCACCGCCGTGACGCCCGGTCAGTTCGGCAGTGTTTTCTGCCGGCCGTCTCTTTTCATTGCCTGCTCATCGTCTGGTTTGGTAGGATTTCGTGGATCGTGCTGATACTTTAGTTCGGAAGGGCCCAACTCTTGACGTCTAGCAGATTGCTGCATAGTCCCATCTGGTTTGTTCTCCGTTTTCATCATGGTGTGGAGACTGATCTGGGTATTGATCTGGGTGCTGATCTGAATGCTAGATGGCATTTGATGCTGAGGGGTTTGGCTGCCTGCGACGACCTTGTATGTTAGACCGGTCCTGCGTGAAAGCTTCGTGGAAGCATCTTGCATCTCTATTTAAGGCCAATATTTAAGTTTTATGGTGTTGGCCGCAGTTCCTACATACAAGTGTTAATGCGCAAGGCTAAGTTGCCAAAATAACAAAACTAGCTATTCTCACTCATCGAATATTGTCAATCCGTTGCACGTGGGCCTTGAACGCGCATCACATTGTACATTCAAGATCGAGTCGCGTTCTTCGTGCAATTAAAAGCTTAAGAGAGGTATGGAGCCCAGCGATCATTGTTATTCTGCTGAAGATAGCTAGATATTTGCGGCCTCCGTTCTTGAAATGCTACCTTTCTTTTTGCGGTCTACTCACTAGATATGCTGAAATGCTTTGTGAAAAGTTTTGGTTTTACTAACGGCCCTATGGAAGCCCAGCAATAGACACTGGAGCAAAATAAGCCGCGGATCAGTCCTTTAAGTCACAGCAACAAGTTCTGACGGCAAACATGAGCGCCACAAAGATAGCGTGGGAGAAAAATAATGTTCTAAGCTAATGAAAATCAGCCATTCGCGTCATAGGAAGCCAGAAAGTCGCATTGCTGGAAAAAAACGCGCGTTGCTTCGAAGCCTAAACGATGTGTTGTACCCCAGTCCCGCCCCCACTCTCCTTCGCCATTTCTACATTGCGACGTTGTCCGTGGCCTTATCGTCCACCAGGACTGTGCAGTTCGCTCAATTGCATTTGTTCCTTTCATCAGCTATTGCGTCAGCCTTGGAAGTTGAGACGGCGAGTCCGATATGGTGTTGCGTCAGCAGCGTGTATCTATGAGCGCTAACGGCAACTGTGCCGTGCGATGAGCGTGATACCCTCGCCGGAAGCGGGCCACGTGCCGAGCCGATGCACTCCAGGTGTTGTCGTGGGACCCGCGACTTCAGGGCTTTGCACTGGTCCTACTTAAACACAGTTTGTTTAATAGAACGCATCCTTTATCCTCGCGGACGTGTAATACAGGATAACGCTAAAGTGGAACGGCATCGAGCCAAAGGTTACGGGACATTGCAAGACGTAAAACAAAACGACCGCGTGAAATTAGATCATCGCTCAGGCCTTTGCGCGGTAGATCAACAGTATTTGAAGTCCATGGCCCCCAGGTGTCTTCAAATAGGCTGCACGGCGAGGAACCACTCGTAGTGTGGTTTGTCTAGCTCACGCCTGGTGAACCCAGTTTACGAAACCCAGACCCAAAGCGTGCCGGTCAGCGCGTCAGTAACGCCTCCGTTTGCACACAAACGCAGTGCTGCGCGTCCGGCCCCCGCCCGGTCCAAGGTTCTCGTGGCGCTGAGGCGAGACGGCGAGGCGATGCCGTCGCCAGACGCCGGGCTGAGATCGGCGCTGCCTTGCCGACAGGGATGAGGAGGCTCCCGTCCGCTTGCGCAACCCGCACGTGGCCGAGATGAAGTCGGACATTCTCTACCACCTGGCGCTGGGCTCTGGGTCGCACGACCTGCAGGCCATGTTCGGTGACGTGAAGGTATGACGTCATGTTATTACGTCAAGGTGTGACGTGGCGGCGCCCGGCATTCCCTGATATTCGCGTTATGGAACGTTGCCGCTTTTTTGCGTAGAATTAAGCCAATAAGTGTTTGTGTGGCTGCCTGAGCCCCTGCAGGCAGCCGGGCTTAGGCAGCCGCCAGCCATCTGGCCGTGACGGCTCAACCGGGCTGGGTCGGGCTGAGTGGTGGCTGGGCTGGGCTGAGTCGAGCGCTGACCTCGTCCGGTGACCTGACCTGACCCGACCTCGACCGACCGCTGACTCGGGTCTTGTTCCAGTTCGTCTGCATGGGCGGCACTCCGCGGCGCATGAAGCAGTTCGCGCACTTCATCATGGGCGAGATCGGCTTCGAGCTGCCGACGGGTACCCAGTTGCTGGACATCTCGCAGCTCTCCTACCGCTACTCCATGTACAAAGTCGGCCCGGTCATCTCGGTCAGCGTGAGTGTGGACGCGAGCGAGCTGGTGCGGCGCGGCCGGGTGCGTCGCCGGCCCGGCTGCCTTGACCCGGCCGGCTGCCGCCGCGGGTGGGCCTCACGTCTGCGTAAGTCGGCCGACGCCATTGTGTCCCCATTACTTACGCTCAAGAAGGCCCAGTGGCGTGGCCTGGTGTCCTGCTGGATTCGTGCGAGCTGTGAATGAGGCTACGACACGTGTTTTCGGCTTCAAAGGCTGAGGCTGTCGGAACGTTAGTACGTAATATTTGGGAGGGTTGGCGAGATGTAAAGGATGAACGAGCATCAGTAAGAAAGCGTTTGAGAGGAACCGTTCTCACTTCACGGACGATCTACAGTGTAGGACCTCCTTTGTTTACCTCGTAGGTCAGGCCTACACCTACGTGCGTCTGTTACCGCTCGCGATCGAAACCTCCAGTGTCCACCCAGCCTTAAATGGAATGTTCCTCATCTGAAAATATTGAAACAAACATCAGAGCCGATGAAGTAAACTCACCCATAACTACTGGTACCCTTTTAAGTGAAAAATGGCTGCTGTGGACAGCCCAGTTTCTCTGTTTAGTAACTGCGCTTCTTATACGTCATTGATCATGTTATTGCACCTTGCACAACATTGATTTAGAGCCAATTGTCGGCCGTGATATCTGGAAATCGTGCTCACGAACGCCTGATGTGAAGGGCTCGACAACTAAATTTTGGCATTGATCTCGCCATGGCCAATGGCATGGTGGGATCCAAATGACATATGACATATGACGTTGTGGAGTCATGGGTGACCTTGAAATAGTCCTTGCGAAATAGTTTGCACATCTTCGCGGGTGAGTAGCTCAGAAATGGGAGGTGTTTAGGCCTTAATGATGGTGGGGCTGTGAACTGCCCCAAATGGTCTTCAAGATGGCTAGTTCAGTTCAAAACCCCATACAAATGTTGAACATTTCCTATAAGCATTGTAACGTCTAAATTTGATTGGCCGAGATGCGCCGTGGTCGGTCCGCAACGGCGGTGTAGGAGGCGCAAAGGCCCGTGTTTGCGTCCGCTGTCGGGGTTTTTGGCGCGTTTCCTGCTAGTGTACCACAGCGACCCAGCTGCAGCGGGCTGGGCTTTTCGTGACGTCACAGGGAAGGTCCCGTGCCGCCCGTGATTTTCCGCTCCCACTTACAGGAATAGTACTGTGATAAGACTGGTGGGAAACTCGGCAGCAGCAGATGGCACGATGCGTCCGACGTCCAGCGGCGTTGTCGGAACAGGTCCAGCGACGTGTGCTGATATGGACGTAGGCACCAATACTAGGGCTTAAAGCCTGGTCGTTGCGGCATATTCGGATGCAACAGGTCTTGAAAAACTTTGATACAGAGAAAAGAAAAAAAAATGTCGCATACATGACAGGACACCACTCGTGTTGCCATGAGCCCGGCAGAGGACGTCATACGGGTGGCTGGTTGTGTCACTCACCGTACCATGCACATCTGGATCGGAATGCCTGCTGGGCCTCAACATAGTACTACAACATGCCTGCGACCCTGAGATCTTGCGGGCGTCCTGTCCTTGTGATAACTTGCGCTAAACTGCGGAGAAACGCAGATGCACATAAGCATAGCTCGTCTGCAGACTGCATTCCAGAGGCTTTCCTTAATCATGATGTTTATCAAGCTGCAGTGGCGTGGTGGTAACACTGCCTCTCCCGCACGGACTTGGTAAAGTGTCAACTGTCGTAGTCATGGCGTCGGCAAAAGCTCAGTAAATCGTGCAGTGACTCTTCCAAAAACTTTGCTTATCGTCCTTTTTGTAAGGGTCCTGTTAGCTAGCGCAATACGCTTGCATTGTTACGCTCCTGATATGGTGAAGGCCGCAAGGATTGGCCAGTTCCTGTTAAAGGACCCGCGAGAACCGCTTCTGACAGAGACGCCCCTCTCCCCTCCCCCCCCCCCTCGCCTCACCGGCGTTCACGCCCACAACAGACCGTTGCTTAAGCAACATAGTTACGTAGTCCGCCCTGCCACGGGCAACATAAGGCTACATACATAGGGATACACTCTGTCGGGCCCGATGTAACTATAGCCGGACTGGGGTTAACCGAATGTAACTATGGCCGGACTGGGGTTGACCGAATGTAACTTCAGGTGGACTGGGGTTAACCAAATGCAACTACAGTCGCACTGGGGCTGACCATGCATCCCTACAGGCGGACTGAGATTGACGGAATGTCACTACAGCCGGAATGGGGTTGACGGTATGTAACTTCAGTCGGACTGGAGTTGGCCGTATGTAACGACAACCGGACTGGGGTTGACCGTATGTCACTACAGCCGGACTGAGGTTGACCTTATGTAACTGCAGCCGGACTGGGGTTGACCGTAGGTAACTACAGCCGGACTGGCGTTGACGGAATGTCACTACAACCGGAATGAGGTTGACCGTATGTAACTACAGCCGAACTGGGGTTGTCACAGCATGGTTGACCTAGGTCTGACAGAACGCACAACTAATCCAATTTAATTTTGGTGGAACCGTGCCTGGCCCAATTATTATAGTATTGTCGGACTGGACTTTTCTGTTGTTTTTTATGATTGATTTGTTTATTAGTGTCGACATCCTAACGCTTACGTGCTGCTTGGAATTGACAACCACACGGCAACCACGTACAGAGTCGGTGATAACCATCAGCATTCGTTTCTGGTCCATTTTGCCTTTTGCTGCGTATATTTGTTTCCAGGTATTGTTCGGCACATGCGGACGGTTACATGTTTGCGGGGCCGGCTACACACTTAAAATCATTCGCTTTTAACTCTCTTGTGCGGTACTTACAATGTGCATGACATCTTCCGGGCCTCACGGCCGGCGATGAGCAGCTCCCCCCCCCCCCTCCCCCCCGTCGGACTGGAGTAATTGAGCGTAAACATGGTCGAGTTGGAACAGATGGGCGTAACTGTGGTCAAACAAGTAAAAACCTGCGGTCCGGCTAGGGCCGAGCCCTAATCATGGTGCCGGGAATATGAATCAGGCTCCCAAGTACACTCTTTTCGCATTTCAAAGTTCCGAGACCGATCTCATTAGTTTAACTACGCATGAGGCAGTGGCCCGAGTCCTGATGTGACTTTATCAGTTTCACAGCTTTTTCTTTTGGAATAACTTATGTTTTTTTAAGATAGGATAATGAATCAGTGAAAAACGAAGCCTGTTGGGTATCACTAATGATCGGGCTGTGCGCGTTAACTTGGAATAAGTGGCCTGTAAATACCACAATGAGTGGGATGCAAGTTTTTTATGTATCTTGGGGGGCGGAATCTTGCTTCAGTCTCGTTTGGGTCGTAGTCTGAGTCAGAATGCTGGGTTTTCAGAATCATTCAGTCCGATTGTGATCCACGTCCCTTCGGGCCTGAGTCGGAGATCGGATCAGAGTCCGTGGTTTCCGCTAAAAGTGGCGAATCGAGTTTGCATCCGATTCAGCTTCAAGATGAGCGGCTCACTTTATGTCCAGTTCCAGAGCCATCATTAGTGCGGAATCCATCTCGTGTCCGGCCGGCCTCGGAGCCACGCGTGGCCTGCTATGGGGGTGACCCGGCGTGGCGACTGGCCGACTGGTGTCGTCGGCCGTGCTGACGCCCACGTCTGGCTGCCTCCACAGCACGGCATGGGCATCCCCAGCGTGGGCATCCTGCTGCACGAGATGATCAAGCTGATGTACCACGCCAAGGCCAAAAACCCCACCTTCTTCCGGCTGGGCACGTGCGGCGGCATCGGCATCGAGGGCGGCAACCTGGTCATCACGGAGAGCGCCGTGGACGGCATGATGAGGCCCTTCCTCGAGCAGGTCAGCAACAGCTCGTTTGATGGGCCCTGGGGGTCCCTGGTGATAGCGAGGGGCGGGGGCTGCACATAGCTTGCCGTCTTCACTCAAACATGGGACGCAGACCATGACGACTCGGGAGGCTCGGGGCCCAGAAGTATGCGCTCAACAGATGGGCGCCCCCGTAATTAAAATATTTGGACCGGTTTAGACAGCACAGAGCGAGACACTATCTTGCTTAGCTTTAGCAAAGCATTGCACTAGCTTGGAGCTGCGAGTGGCTGGACGGGTGCGCTTTCAAACCAATTGGGTAGGTAGGCGCGTAGGGTAGGCACGGTGATCACAATGTGCTAGCCCCCAGCAATGTCAGATCGAGAAGAAGGCGGTGTGAAACGTGCAGTTTCGTTAAAATGGTCCGCTCGATACGTCTTGAGTGCAATCAAAAATGCAAACATCAGTGGCCTTGAAATATGCCGGCAGAGTTGTCAGTAGCGCCTCAATTGCTCTTGACAAAATATTTATCGACTGTTGATGGGCGGATAAACAGGTAACGCGGAAACGTAAAGCATCTCTCTTGACGCGAATGGCTTGTGTCATGTGTTATGTGACGGCCTCACGGCGGTGCCTGTGTTTGGGCCGGGCCGAGCGGTCTGTGACAGGATACAGAGGGTCATCTCACGCGCCGGGACCGACATACATACGGCGTGCCGGCACGCTTGGACGCCACACATTGGGGCCTGACAGTGCGGGCACGCCGCCAACGCCAGGCATACGCATCATTCCAAACATAGAGTGCGCGTGCTTTGTCCAACGGTTCTGTCCACGGGGATGCTGCCTGGAGGTCAAAGCTGACTTCTTTGTCAAAATGCGTGCCATCCTGCGGTCTGGAATAACTTCTACGGGAACTGTAAAGTTGTGGGAGAATCAAGCGGATGAAGGACACTATAGCCATCCGGTCATCGCTGTCCCGTTATTTTGACATGTTATAAGAGCACGGAGCCTAATTGATGTGTGTCTCTTCTAGTATTGCTTTTCGGGGTTATCAGAAGGTGGTTCTGACCTCGCGTTGGTCCCCGGCTTCATGCCCCTGACTTTTTAATAGGATTTATGGGAAGGAAAATGAATACACAGAACTGGGCTGCATATCGGAGCTGCTGAGCCGTTAGAGCAAGGTCACTAGTGCTGAGTTGTGGAGCGTCTGGGCGACACGAGGTAGATGTATACACGTAACGGGACGGTTCCTTGCTACGCATGTCTTGTTTATGTCTGGAGCTCTTCTTGTGACATGAGGTATGGAATTCTGCAACTAAAACGTATACACAGCGATGTGTTCCGAGGAAGAGTGGACATGGGTGTGGGAACAGGGGGCACGGGTGTAGGAACAGAGGGGGCATGGGCATGAAAACAGGCCGGCATGGGTGTAGGAATAGGGGCCGCTTTTCAAGGTGAAGTCAGGAATATTAAATGCCCTCTCCTTCATCCCACACTCATATACACACTTTTCAGATGTAATCTGCATTCAGCTTAATTTTGTGTTACCGTAAACATGCACGCCGATGGGGGGGGGGGGGGCGCTGGTAGTGTAGTGGTTAATGCATCTGCGTGAACCAATGCGCGTCTGGGAAACCGGAGGTACGGGGTTCGATTCCCCGCGGTGCCCGCCCTTCATGCCAGGGTGAGAGGCAGGCGACCCCATATAGCCTCAGCAGCTGAGAGCGCTGTAAAGCCCCAATGACATGACATGCACGCCGATGCATTCGCTATAATGTGATAGTAAAGGGAGAATCTCCATTTTTCGCGTTGCTGTAGCTGTTTATCTGTTCAGAAGGCATCCCCAAACTTATAAAAGTGAAGAAACGTCCTAGTCAAATTTTTCAACGGCACACACTAATGTTGAAAGACTTGAGAACATTTTTTCACGACGTTCGTTCCCACACGCCCGCCACGCGTCGTCTAATGTTATCTGCAGAGCTCGTCATTTGGTTCGCGGAAATTGTAACCCCGTCCGCTGCTGCTCTTGCTCCAAGGAATGTGAGCGTGCAGGTTCAAACCTTTTTTTGTTATTTTGCGCAAGTCCATTCTGCAAAGGATCGTTATTAGCAGGCAAAATTCGCTTGGCTTATTTCATGTTTTACTTCAATTTGATTCACGATATTCAGCAATAATGAGCTCTTTACCCTTTCGGGCAACGGGCCACGCGGTAGAACACTATAGGTACAATCATGTTCCTAGCCAAGGGTCGATAGGTCATTCCTTCCCCACGTGGATTGTCAGCCCGGCGACGCGGGGGACAGGATCCTCGTCTCCAGACTGTGGTGCAGACAGGGGTTCCTCTTTGGGCCACTTCAGGACGCCTCGAAAATGACCGATTCGAGGGTTCACTCGCCGATATAGCGTACCTTTTTAGGCACTGTGAGACACCGACCAACCCAGGGGCTCCTCATTCGTTCAGGTGCCCGACCAAAACATATCGCGGGGACTGGCCTTGTTCCTGCCTGGGAAATTGGCCTCAGGGCTCAACCCGACACGGAGCCGACTGTCCGGAGTTGGTGGTCTCTGGTCGAAATAGGGTCCACAATGTCCCAGGGTGCTCTCAGTCGATGCAAGAGGCCCTCTGACTGACATTTGGGGTCATGGTCCTACACCTTGCGGGCCGGATTTCAGTTTTATTATCGATTCCGGCCTTCCGGACTTGTATCTTGAATGCGACCTTCAGCTAGCCTTCCAGCCTTCCAATCGGGCCTTTGACTGTCGCTCGCGAGGGCCTCTTCAGACCCCTTTTTGGGGCCCTCATGAACACTGCCCCTGACCGACTCGGGGCCCCTTGTCAACAAAGGAACCGTCGTTGTGCAATGGGTGCACTTGACCGACACAGGGGCCCCTCGTTGCCTTCGGGGCCCCGACCAACGAAAATCGTTGGCCCGACCAATCCAAACTTCGGCGTTGTCCTTGTTTGGAAAATGGCCCTTTAGGCCCAGAATGACAAGCAGTCCACTGTTCCGTACTGGTGGTGCCAGCAAAGAGGCCCTCATCGACTCAAAGGAGAGGGGCGGTCGGCGCAAAAGGCCCTCTGGCTTTGGTCCGCAGTGGGGAGGGGCAGTCGGTGCAAAGGACCCTCTGGCTTTGGTCCGCAGAGCCGGGGCGCCCTAATACTCCTGTCATCCATTCGGGCCGTCATCGTCTGCCCCCCCCCCCCCTCGGGGACCCGAGAAGTTTCGTGTCCCCTTTGCCCGCCCCTCCCCCCCCCCCCGACCTTACCTTTGTCGCTGCCTTTATGGCCTAAAATTAAATTCCACTAGAAACCAGAACCTCCTTTGAAAGCAAAAGTGGCTGTGATGAATTTAGCTGTTTACATGTAGCAGACGATAATTTTCAGATATCTACTGATCGAACTTAACACTATCTTACGTCGCTGGTTCACCAAGTGGGACACCATGCCCACTAACGCTTAAATCGATTTCAGTAACTCCCGTGTGACCACTAGCGCGATCATAGTCGAACAATGAATGGTGTTCAGACTATGATGTCGGAGTATGACGAGGCCCAATAGCTGTACTGGATTAACTGGAAAGGTTCAAAGCTCAAGGTTGGGTTTGGTGCAGACTTAGTGTTTGACGACATTAGGGCTTTCAATGTTGATATAACTGTGCTGCAGACTTGGTGAGGTGCCTGCGGCGTGTTCCCGCTGGCAAAAGCGTTTGTCGGCTTCCGCGGTCAGTGCTAGTCACGTTCTCATTGTATAAAGATGCTGCGAGCATGTGTCAAGTAGTTGTGTCCTGTGTGTTATGGTAGGTGAGATAGAGCGTTTATGACATAGACGTATAAACCCCTTAGAGACCGGACTTTGAGAACTGCTATTACGAGGCATGCAACGGTCACCGCGTTTTGAGATAATCCACCCATAATGTGCGATGCACGAAAGCAGGGACGGCACGGCATAGGGGAGGGGGGGGGGGGGGGGAGGCAGAGGAGCCAGTCCGTCCCGTCTGCCGGCAGAGGGGGAGAGTATGTCTCGCCCACTTTAATTTTTGGTTGGCTCCTTTTATGCCAAAACTTAAGGTCTAGTAGCTTTGCACATTTTACCAAAATTAACATGAAGTAACCCTAATAATGAAGCTAGGGGTGAAAAATCGGGGTTAAAAGACCCTTTTCTGCATGGAGGGACCCGTTCGCTGCATCAGGAGGCTCTTTTTGTGTTAATGAAGCCCCTTTGTTGACTTTGGAGGCCCCGTTATAAATTACGAGTGCCCTGTTCTGGATAAGGAGGCACCCTCGGGAGGGATTTGTTTTTGACATCAGCTGACACTCCACATACATACGTGGCCATTATGTGTCATTAGTCTGAGAGATAAAACAGTGGAGAGGTCCCTATTCTAGAACGGAAGGCTGCCTCCGATGCACCAGGGGCATGCAGCGAACGGTCACTCCGTATCAGGGTGCCCCGTTTGGAAATAATCAGGTCCCTTATCGAACTTGGATGTCCCGATGTGATTCAAAAGGATCCTGTTCTAGATAATGAGGTTCGTCCATGTATCATAAAGCCTTTTATTGGACAGGAGATCCCTTCTTCGAATTAGAAGGCCCTGTGCCGGATCGGGAATCTCTCTGTACTAATTGGAGGGTCCTCGTTCGAGGCTTTCTATTTCCTATTGTCTATGTTTGCTCATATGGATATCGCTGGATATGCTATGAAATTTCGTAAGGGGGGGGGGCGTGTCCCCTCCTATCCTCTCCCCTCACCCAACCCCTCCCCCTCTCCTCAAATACAACGCAGCTGAGAGCCCATTGTGAAGGGCCGTGTTTATCCGGAAAGTCTCTGGAAAAGTCTGCCCACTCTCTAACTCAAAATTTGTGGTGCCGTTCCTGCATGTAAGAACTGCCTGCATTCATGAAGGAGTATTTCACCGGTGTGTGTAGGGACCCTGCTGTATCCAAGGTCCAAGATCCATTTAAACCAATCGTATTCATGTCTATGTATTTCACAGACTTTAACAAATATTGCCCACCGACTCATTGACAGCATGCGTTGTCGCCGACAGCCGGTGCTCGGCGAGCTTCAGCAGCGGGAGGGCATCTTGGACAAGGAGCTGGCGGACGAGCTGAAGACCCTCTCTAAACCCGATGACCCCTGGAGCACGCACGTCGGCCGCACCATGTGCACGACAGACTTCTATGAGGGTACGCTTGTGCATGGCGCGGCCGCTCCGCTGGCCGTACAGGACTGGCCTGGCTGCCTGTCTGGCGCTGGCTAGCGCGGAAGAAGGCCGTGTGGCTTCGTGGACTGGGTTTTGCAGGGGAGAGACGACAGGCGACACTTGTGCGGTGATGATGCGCCGTGCGCCAACACGTGTGTCGGGCCTGTCAAACGCGGCTTGCGGATGTCTGTGGTGCCGTTCGCGCGTGTCACATTGGCGCGGACGTCGCGACAGCGCCTTGTCGATTCATCCCTGCTGCATGCATTGTCGTGCTGTGGTGGGAAGAGTGACGAAATCTAATGCGAACGTGCTGTAGCTTCAGCCGAGGTCTGCGTCATCACACCCGCTGTTTTGTTTTGTTGTTTTCAAATCCAGACAAAATAGATTAACACAAGCTTTCCATCACATCGATGGGACACGTCAGATGCAGCCAAACGAGACACAATGGACGAGTGCGCGATGTGTTTTTCCCGCCATCCTAACCAATGTATTTGCAGGCTTAAGCCACACTTGCTGTGGTACCATTACGACGGCGTGCAGGGATCACCCGTTCCAGCTGTTTCAGAGGTTCGCTTAAGGAGGGCAGGAACACGCGCATGCGCAGGGGCTTCTATGACCCGTAACCTGCTGCTGTGACCCGGTTCATCGGTGGTATTATTTCCTGTTTGCCGCAGGTCAGGGTCGGCTAGACGGAGCATTTTGTGATTACACGGAACGGGACAAACTGGACTTCCTCGAGAACATCCACAAACAGGGCATCTTGAACATGGAGATGGAGTCGCTCATGTTCGCCGCGCTGTGTCATCACGCTGGTATCAGAGCCGGCGTCATCTGCGTCACGCTGTTGGACAGGCTGAAGGGAGACCAGGTAAGTGTGCGCATCCTTTTCGGCTAGTACAGTGAGCCGGATACGCGATCGGTTATTGATCTGTCCCAGATTCCAAGGTTGCACGGGTTCCAGAATGTTATGTATTCCAGGATTCCAGGGTGTCTCATGTTCTCAGGAAACCAAGGTCAGTAAATATTGCCGAAGATTGCTGTGCTGGGTGGACAGGCGTGCCGTGCGACTTCGTGCGCGCGCGCGCCGCTGAGCGATCGGCATTCGCGGTTTCAGGTCTCGGCCGACAAGAAGACTCTGAACGAGTGGCAAGAATACCCGCAGCGCCTGGTGGCACGCTACATACGGCGCCGCATGAAGGAGGCGTCCCCGTCACTCACGCAGTCTGTCCACCACCCGCTCAGTCCCGGCGAGTCGGGTGTAATCCGCTCCATCTCCCAACTGAATCTCACTCGGCAGACATCCGAGCAGGTCAACAGCTGCGAGTGAGCGAGGCCGCCACCCGTGCGGGAGATGGCGCTGGCGGTCAAAGTATAGGTGGCAGCCGTGAAGCCCTTCACGACAGTTGGCCGAGGTGAATCAGTTTGTGAATATATTTGTGTGTACTTACACCAGTTTGGCATTTTTAGGCTGTGTTGTGCGTGTCAATATGGGTTTTCGTGGCCGAAGAAGGTTTGCGAGCTAGGAGTGTTGGAACCCTGCTAGCAGTAAGCCAATCCAAAGGGCAATGTAGCATTCCACGTGCGATGCACCAGAGGGTTTGGCTTTGCGGCTCGCTCTGAGTTGGTTTTATGGAGCCGAGTGTTATATCTGTCTGTCCCGGTGACTTGCTGAGGCCTACATTTGAACGCGAATTTTCCAGGAAAACATGCTGGTTGCTGGAATGGAAGATGCGTCTTACAGAATATGTAATAAAACGCACCGGTGCACCTGTTGCAACAAGTGTACAAGGCGTGGATTTAGCCCAGAGCCAGAGTAATCGTGGAGTTCATGGAACGGTGTTATTCGTGTGTAGTAATCCGTCAAAATACACCTGAGTCGTCTGAGTGAGTGTCTCAAGCAGATTGCAAGGAAGCATGAATGCTGGTTGACGCACACCTTGCACTGCACGAAAATGTGCAGCTTTATCACGAGTAGCTGGTCACCGTGCCTCGGAGAACGAAGAATGGTTTACCATGTCAAATATGTTGTCAAAGGTGGATCGCTTCTCGGGTCAGAACGACCGACTTTACAGGATCTTTTGTTGTTGTTGTCGATTGGTGTTTTCGGGCGCGCCGACTGCGGTGGTCATTTGGCGCCCATAACGATTTTTGCTTCGCCTAACTAATGGACCGTGTAAAGAGTCCCGAAGTTGATATGTTTAAGGAATAAAAATACCTGTTTAGATTCAAGAAGGCGCGAGTTGTCTCCTAAAATGTCACAGAGCGTCAAGGACGAGTCACGCTGTCCAAGGTACCGTCGACGTTCTTCCATGAGGCGACTTTACAGGATCCTCATTTAGCTCCCGAGGGGCCTGAGCGCCCCCCCCCCCCCCCCCCACCCCAAATGCATATGGGAAATAGCAGTACTCGGCCAAGGTGGCCCAGATATAACTCCACCCATGTTACCCACCCGCCATCAGTGGCAAGTGTATTTGTCGCACATCACTGGCTGCGGTGGTCATCCGATCAGTGATCCCTTACTAAGATTCACTGCGGTGCCTTCCTGTGAATTACTACTCACTCTAAGCCCTAAAAAACGGCCTCGCATCGCCATGAAATGAATGTCGTACTCCGCAGAAAAAAATGTATTGATCTCGATTTTTGAATTTTAAGCATCAGGGACGCAAATTAGAGTTGTCGAGATCCGGGTAGAATCAATCGGATTTTAGGCTAGGTTAGGCCAATCTTTATGGCTCAGCCCCCCTCCCCTCTCCCCGCCTTAAGCCGACTTTAGAAAGACATCCTTGTGTACCACCCTAGTTCCTATATGCTTTATTTACCGAGTTCTTCACTCAACGAGTTCTCTTCAAGAGTGTTTTTACTCAACGATTAAGCTACCTTTGCATTTGCCCTCGTCCAGATCAAGCTCAGCCATACGCGATAACAACTTATTTGAACTAAAGGAGTATGCACTGATCATACCATCACACAGGCATTCTACGGCGTCTCTGGGATTGCAGCTGAATGGCGCGCGTACATTGGCTGTGAGACAGCGATATTCATGCCCACAATGGTGACCGCTGCGTAGGGTCAAGAACGTAAGCAGATGTCGCCAACCAGCTTATTCCGCTCACAGGACCAGTGGGCAGAGTTGTGATAATGGAGGGCGGCTGGGTGGTAAGTACGTCTCGCTCCGCAGCTGGCAGATATAATGTGACAACCCATTGAATAGCAATAGCCAAATTGCAAACCAAGCGAAGACCCGTGGTATCTAACACGCGACGAGATAGTCCCATCAGTTTGTAATGCCGAGCAGGCTTAGCACTGCGAGAGGGGAGGCTGGTAAGGCTTCATTATTCCACGAGATACAGGACACACCTGCACACGGAGCACACCTGCGCTTGGACGGAGCGCACCTGCGCTTGATTTAAAAAAGCAGCACAGAAACAAAAGGGAAAGGCATCTTTACCATCCATAGTCTGCGCACTTCACGGCCTGGTGTTAGAAAAGCAGCTTTCATAATTATTTCCAAATGGAGAACAAGACCAAAGACCAGTATGAGAACAGGCTACAGTTTTCAAGCTTGCAATTGGACACATCTCACTCAAAATACTGTTGCTACGATTATCGATTTCCTAGCAGGCCAAGCCACCGTGCCTCCTTATATAGTGACTACCACTAACAATAAATTACTGTAGTTCACCTCACAACAACCAGGTATAAACTTTGACCTTTTAAACATATTGTGAAGTGGTGCCTCTACTATGATAATGCAGAGCGCCTGCTGCGAAACGCCCAAGAACACACCCCGCAGCACGCCCGGTCATTGCGGTCACATCCCGCAGCGTCAGTCCGTACCACGATAGTTCAGCCCAGTCCTTCAAACCTCGCCGCATTCCAAACCTTCAAAGTGCCGTCAGCCACCCGCCGTGCGGCCGCCATAAAGAAAGACTGTGCAGCTGGCTGTTGTTCTGGCACTGAACTAAACTACGAAACGCCATCCCGGGTGTCCAAACACTATCGACCTACAATACCACACACATCCAAACCAAACCACACCAGCCACCGGGCGAAACCAAACGACGCCACGCAAACGCATCCATGTCCATCCCACTCCACGCAGATCGTTCGTCATCACAAGCAAACGACACGCGTATGGGACGCTAAAATGACGAATAGCCCATTTGCGAGGGTTTCTTCTCGGCGAAAAAGTTCCTGAGCACGAGCACCTGTCCGATGGTGATGACGAGGATGGCCACTGTCTCGCCGATCGACCAGTAGAGCACGCGCTCGCCCAGCTCCTCGGCCCGCCGGCGGCCCTGTGTCTCGCGCAGCTTGTAGTGCGTCTGGTAGTCGTCGACAGCATTCAGGTTCTCGTGCACGGTCTGGGCGGACGCTTCCATCTGAGGTGGACAGAAAATAACATCCAGCAGCTGTAAGTGTGCTAGCTGGCGGCATGGCGTGATTAAGGCGTGGGGACGGTTTGACGCCAGGCAGAGCATCTAGTCTGTCTCGATAGCTCAGGTGGTTATAGCGCCTACCTATCGGTTCACCCATCCCTGGCGGGGTGGGGACAAGTTGCTTCAGGCGTTTGTCCCTGACTGAGATGGCCTTCACCGGTGGTAGCCATTGCGCCAAAGATCAGCTGACATCCGGAGGCTGAATGGACCATGCCGAGCACTGAATCAAGGCAAGATTTCACCTCACGGCTATGCTAGTGGCCCAAAATTCATAATCAGATGGTTGGGTCAGGACTCGTACAGCAAGCACTGCTTAGTATGGGCAATGATATCAGAAATATCCATCAAACAATGGGTTTAGATCAATCCAGGTGCCAACTAATGAACAGTGAATGCCTTCTCACTGGGCTCCAGTTCTTGAGGGTTGCAGCCTGCAGGGTTTGTTGAAAGCTACATCACATTGGGTGCCACGGAAATGCAATCCAGTCTCTAGTCTTTTGATGCTGAGCATGCACTCACCTGTGTTAATGCTGTGGTATGTTCCTCCATGCCAGGAAGGGGCTTCTCCTCACCTACTTGCCAGTCCAAGTAAATGATCTTGTGCGAAAAGCTGGAAAACTCATTGCTGAAGCAGACTGTGTATGTGCCTGCTCTGTCTGTTGTGAAAGTGTAGTCACCATACTGCTCCTTCACTTTGTTGTACAAAATCCTGTCATCAGGTGCCTTCACCTGACAGCTCACATCATAATTGCCACCAGTGACTACCTGAAAAATGCAGAAGACTGGGTTTAACATTATCTCATCATTAATTATAAACATAATGTACAATTTCATATGGCCTACATGCACTAATGGCTCTACATGCACACAGCGTTAACATACAGTACAGTTACAATCATCACACACATCAGACCTACCATAACAACATAATCATATAGGATTTAAGGAGGTGGAAAGTCAGTACACTGAAGCCGATTTGATTTTATGGATGTTACAAGGTGTTTATAAAATATAATGAGAGGTAAACTAAAAACAATCATCCTGCACCTCTGGGGATCAAAATAGGTACCATTTGGCTTAGCAAACTGGACAACAAAGTTTATGCAGATCAGCAATGAAAAATACTGATTTCATCAAGGAAAAGGCATCCTCTCAAGAAATCAGCATGTCAATGCTGGCGGATCTCATGTTACCCCAAAACGTGTCATGTCAATTCTGTGATACAACATGACACAACATCTTTTAAGCAAGCAAATAACTGCTAGCAATCTGCTGAGCTTTGATTTTGCACCCCAATTTTTTTGACTAGTGTTTTCATCTTTGACAACCTGCAATAACTTTCATTTTGACGGATCAGCTTTTGGTTCCACCAAAGACACAGATCATCAATGCTGAATGAGATCGCAATACAAAGTCTCCAGGATGTAGCAAACTTGCCTGAAATTCCACTGTTGTTTTTTCTCCAGCTTTGATGTCTTCATAAAAGCACTGTTTTTCATTATCTGGAAGCTCAAATGTAAGCTCCACAGCAGTGCAGATATACACAAGACTTAAGCAGATTAGTAGACCAAGCAATGTCTTCTGTGTCATCTTTCCTTGCATCTTGCACAGGGAACTGAAAAGAAAAAATAATATTCACTACACAAATTCATCACACAAGTATGCACACTGGTCATAAATTTCAACATTCATAGCAAATTTTCACTGAGTCATTTGAGGCAATACACATGTATCAGGAAAAGGTGGTCACACCATATCCCAGACAATAACATTTCCAGTGAAACTTTCATGCAGAGGAATTCAGGCAAATCAACACAAACTAGATTATGCTATGAATATGTCAATGCATTAAAAGTGATGTAGTGCATGGTTCTGGAATGCTCTTGTGCTCTTCACTGGCTGGGTCAAATAATGGCAAGGCTAAGATTTTTTTCAGATGTTTTTCATTATGACAATACATGACCTGCACCTTTTGGCATGATGATTGAAATGCAAAAAAACTCTCATTTACATTTATGCCTCAATGAGCCACTCCACAGATTAGGTCCATATTTAGCACAATCACAAGCTAACTAGGCCTAAGGTGCGATCCACAAAGTACATTATGCATGGGGAAAAGGTGCAGGGGCTTCATGTGGAGAAGCTTAGGCATAAAAAGATGCTAAGAGTGACAAAACGCCACACAGTGGTCCGGGACGCTGTTAGTAATAGTCAAAGACCGACCATCTGTTTAGCTGACATTTCAATGACAAGGAACCACAATCACAAACACGGAACCATTTACACCATATATGGATATAAGTATGACCGAATTTGGCTAAAAAAAATGTTCAGTACAAGTTTACAGTAATCGCTTTTTATTTATACGTCAATACCACCCATGGAAGCAGAGCCCACCAGCCCCCACTCACCGCCGACGTCGACCGATGAATTCAACGCTCAAAATCGTACACGTTATTGCCCGGTAAGTTTTTGTTATTCCCTTCACAAAGTAGTTCTAAAAACCAATACAAATGATTGTATTCAAAACGTCAAATTTTTTGCCAATGAATTAAAAACGTACGATTATATCGACAGAATTGTATTTTTTGATGTCTTATATTTCACTTCGTTAAAAGCTTTACCTTATACCCACTAGTTTAAGCAGCATTGCGTTTCTGGGCACAGCAGTTCAGAAATGTTCCAACAGAGCGTAGGCATTTATCGCGCGGTTGAGACGTCTCGTCAGCGTTGTCTTGTTCGGAAAAGGGATATTGCTGCCAAACCCCAGGATTCCTTTAAATAAATAAATTTTTCGCTACCAATTTTGTAAGTGCACGTGGAGTGAAAGTGCAATGGAAGTGTGGGTGGGGGGGGGGGGGGAGGGCTGTATCATATTGTCTAACGTATGAAAGATACAATGCACAAAATTTTCAAGGCTCACACCGTCAAAAGCACAGAATGTCCAGAATGTGACATGGCTTCTAAAATATTCCAGGGTGAAGGCGTTCACAAAGTTCAAAATGCACAATGTTTTAGGTACACAATTTTCAAAGCACAGAATTTCAAATGCGCAGAATGCTTACCAATCTACGATATTTTGGAAGCTATTTTTCATTTTGCGCATTGTGTTCTTTTGAATAGCCTGAATTTCGGACATTTTGTACATTAGATATGTTGTACCTCGGACATTATGTGCCTTCGACATTGTGTTTATGTACCTTTCGACAGTCTGTACCTTGAACAATATGAACGCCTTCCAATATCCCGTCGGCTCACACACCGAACACTCCGTCAACACACATGATGTGACGAGTTCCAGCTGACAAACGTAACAGATCGAACGTGGGCACCTTTCCCCCAAACCACACACTTTAGGCACGAAACCCAAATTATCCCCAGATGTCCGGACAAAAAGCGGTACATAAAAAATCCTACGACAAAAATGGCAGGCACGAAAGTTAGTAAGGTGAATCGGAAAAAGTCGAACGACAAGAAGTCGGCCGGGATTAAAGGCGAACCCGAAAGAATTCAAGGGTCTATAGGAATAAAAGTTAAATTGGAAAAGGTAGAATTGGCAGAAGGCAGCTTGGAAAAGGTCCACTTGCAAAACGGTTAGGAACTAAAAGTAGACTGTGACGTAAGTCAATAGGGATAAGTCGAAACACAAAGCGTTAAGTGAAAAAGTCAGCAGGAAGTCCACGAAGCACTGTTGAGTGCTTATGATAACACACTCGTTATCATAAACACAGCTTGAAACTCCGAGTACTGACAATATTATTAAGGTTTGCTCTATAACGTTGTTTAACAGTGCCTCCTTGTATGTTGAAGGTCTGTAAGTCGGCTTAAAGCTCTGAACTCACAATTCCGAACACAGTGATGTAACTTTCTGTTCAGTTGGGTAGGGGGACTGGAGCTGTTCCTCAATAGCCTGAATTAATAAATTAGTGAGCTTGTAGGGTTTAAGGTCCTTCAAGCTGACAACAAGCAGCATAGTTTTGTGTTTCGAAGGGGTCCAGGCAATGCGTACGTTTCTAGGATTGTATAAGGCACATGCAGCTTCACTGTCGACAACGTCGTACAACAGACGCCGTCTGCTGTCCTGCGGCCGCCTGCGCACCATGCTCGCCTCCCTCTCCCCAGCGTCCAACGCTGAAGATACAGGAGCCGCGCGCCGCCGCGCGGCCGACGAGAGCCACGTAATGTTGCGAAACAGTTGAGACATTTATTTTGGCGTAGTATTTACGCCCTTGGGTGACAGTGGCAGCTTTTCCGCAGGCCACCTCAAAATTTGTCTGGTAACGTCCCGTTCTATCTGATAGCATCATACTACATCCAGTCTCGTCTGATCTCGTCCTGTTCCGTCCGATTCCGTCCAGCTGCGTCTGGTTTTGCCCAGTTTTGTCTGGTTCCGTCTGATTCCGGCTGGCCCCGGTCTGTCTCGCTCAGTTCCGGTCGACCACGTTCGTTGACGTCCGATGCTGTCTGATTGTGTCCGCTTACGCGTGGTCCCGTCTAGTGCCGTCCGGTTCGGTCCCATTCTATCTGGACCAATTCGATTCTGAATTCCTTTGATTCTGTCTGGCTCCATTCGAACCGGCCCATCTCTTTTGATCTCGTCCGGTCCCCTCTGGTGTGATCTAGGTCCGTGCGATCTTGCCCGCCCCCGTCTCTTCCCATCCAGTCCCATCCAGTTTTATCTTTCGCTTACTGTGGTCACAGTTTTATCCACCCCTGACACCCCTGATCTTGATGACATTTTCATTTTGAGTCATTTCAAAAGCAAGTGTTTTTACATGTTCGAGTTGAAACCTTGTCCCTGTCGACATACTGTATTTTGACATATTTCAGCTCTACTTTAATCCCGCCGAATTTTGTCGTTTGGCTTTTCTTTTTGTCTACTTTCATCCCCTTGGACTTCTTGTCGTGCCACTGTTTTCGTGAGATGTTATTTGCATTGGCGGGGAACATTGTGCACATAGACAAGACAAAAGTAATAGCCTCATTCCTAGTGGAAAGACCCGAAGAATGGAGATATAGATGCGTTGGTATTTTGGCAACATGCCTTCTTCGTAATGAAAACCAGGTGCAAATTCAAACTTACCTGCATTTGATCATGCTCGACTTTACAGGGTTTTTTGAAACAGCAAGCCACAGTTTTTACAGGTCACTAACACTCAGGGGACTAAACAAGGAGCGACTACCAGCCGTTACTGGGATGCAGCGCATACCTAACTAAGAAGATATGCGAAAATCACACGAACAGACAAACGAATTCAAATAAACATGCATCACAAATCACGCTTTATTCAAAGATGCAAGCGAGTTCAACTAAACAGGCAACATATATGACGCATCAATTATGCATGCAAATGATTTCAGTTAAACAGGCATCACGCATCGCGCGATAGTCATCACTTATATATGTAAACAACTTTAGGCTAGGACGCATTACACATCAAGGCACATATCACGTTCGCATAATCGGTCATGATGAGCCATGTACGTTAAGGTTTGGTCACCGACTTTTTTACAATATTTTCATGCGTACAGGGCTCGGGGCTGTACGCTAAAGGTTGATCGCCGGCTTTTTATAAGAATAGTTTCACACGTACAGGGCATATCATGGCCGATTATGCGAACGTGATACGTGCCTTGATGTATGATGCGTCCCAGCTTAAAGTCGTTTGCATGCATAAGTGATGCTTGACGCGCTGATGTATGATGCCTGTTTACTTGAACTCGCTTGCATGTTTGAGTGAAGGGTAATGTGTGATACCTGTTCAATTTTTTCGCGCATTCCAATTCTTAGTTAGATGTGCACTATATCGTAGTAATGGCTGGCAATCGCTCCTCGTTTAATCCCCTGGATGCTGGTGCCTTTAAAAACTACTGCTCACTATTTTAAAAAAACCTGAAAAGTCGAGTAAGCTCATAAGCATGAAATTTTGGATTTACCCCTGCTCTTCTTTTTGATACAGGCATGTTGCTGAAATATCAACGCATCTATCTCTCCATTCTCTTGTACTTTTTTCTACGAGGAATACGGCTATCATTAACGTCTCATCTTTTGCACTATTTTGTTCAACCATTCCTTCGTTTTTTCATATGGCTTTTTCCACTAAAATTGGTTAGGCCAGGTAAGGCGAGGTTAAATTAGGTCAAGTTACGTTAGGTGGCCAGTAACCCGTTATACCAATACGCATATCCTGTGCCTTGCCGTTACCAACCCCGATGACGTTGCGCTGAGGCGATGCTTGCAGTGCATAAGTGATACATGAGCCGGCATGCGGGCCTGGAGCCGGACCACGACTTGATATGCCTTCTTCGATAGCTCTGTTGCATTCGCTCGCCTCCTGGGTAGGTCGTATAACGACACAGTTAACACATGTGTACACGGATGTCGATCTATATTCTTTTGAGAGGGCCCTGGCTTCCTCAAGGCTGAGTTGCCCCCTCCCCCTCCGATGTTGGTTCGGACCCCAAATATTTTTAGCTGGAATATCACACAATGCGTAGGATTAAATACGTAGGGTTGACCAAACGTTTATTATATATATTATAATATATATATATATATGTAAATGTATATTTACTAGGTGTATATCATGTTGTATTATATATATATATATATACGTAACATATACTATACATAACATTACATAAAATACGTTATATATGTAATATAATATAAGGCGCACATTGTCTTTCCCAATGACACTCTCGTTGTAGATATACACATCTGGGTAGGCATATGCTCGCTTTCCATGGTTGTTCTCGGGGCGAGAAATAGATAAATGACTGCATTGACGCTTACTGTCCTCGGTGTTTTCGTGGCTGTATGGGAGCTGAGAACGTAAAGTCTCTGGCTCCCCGTTCGTCAATGCTTTGTATAAAAGGCATATATCGAAGAGGTCAATAAACTTTTGGGAACTGAGCCAGTCAAACCGTCGTGGAACATCTAACACATGGGCAAATTTACGTCATCTGTAGATCACTTAAGCTGTGAAGTAAACACTTCCCGTAATTTCACAGCAGTCGCGCTGTTCGGTCTTCCATAAACATGAACGCGGTAACGAACATGGCAGAACACAAGCACGTCAATAATGCGTGGCAGAATGCTAGCAGTTAACACGGGTTTGGCATTTAGGAGAGCGACAAGAATGCCAAAACAACGCCTAGTGACACGGCTCAGGTGCATGTCCCATGACAGTGTAGATCCATGATCACGCCTAGATTCTTTACACTATCTGAGCATCGGAGAGACTTGTCTATAAACATGACGGTGGATGACACAGATATCTGGCTGAGTTGGCGCCTGTCTCCACAGAGCAAAGTTCCGTTTTACCAGCGTCAACCATCATGCCATGTTGGAGAAGCCACGTGCGTATTGTGTCCACAACCGTCTCCAAGGATTGCAGGAGATCTGACCGCCTGTTACGTGGTCCAGTGACCGCGATCTGCGTGTCGTCATCATAACGGGCCACTTTTACACGGAAGCTGTTGATTTCAAGTGGCATATGGCAAGTGAAGTCATTACTGGTTATGTTATATGTCAAAGGTCCGAGGTAGGAGCCATGAAAAGAGGTAATAGTAATGTTTGATGAACTAGAAAGTGTTTCTTCCACTCTCGCTCGCTGTTTGTGACCCCCCAGACAGCTCTAGAGCCAGCGAGTGGAAGTTTGGAGCAGCTGGAGCTTCGTAAGAAGGGTAGAGTGGTCCATAATATCAAAACAAGAGCTTAGGTCGATAAGCATAAGAAGCGTCATTTCGTATCTGAACATGCCATGCAATATTTCGGTTCTAACATAAGAAGAACGGAACAAGTGGAGTGATGTCCTATGACTTTGTGCTGGTTAGCGCTGAAAAGGCTTTCGTGCTTTAGGAAAGACGTGAGCTGCTAGTGAACGAGCTTTTCCGCAAATTTGCACATGGCTGGAACCGGTGTAATTGGCCTAGAGCTCGATGCTGCCGTTGGGTCGTTCTTTTTTACGAAATGGTATTACAACGGCACTTTTTCAGCTAGAAGACACGATTTCCAAGACAATACTTGTGTTAGTGATGCCGCTTCATGATGTGAGAAAGGTTCGAATGTTGACGCTTAAGCTGAATTTCAATATATTAAGAGTTATGTCACCTTTCACACTCGCTGCTTTGTTTGCTAGTGAGAATAAGACACCTGAAGTTGGTCAAGTGTAACAGGCACGGTATGCATTGACCCCGTGTCCACACGAGGGAGACGAACGTCTAATTTTTCGCGTCCCGATAGATGGAAGTCGGCGTTGACCTTGTCCAGGGTTTCGGTGCCGATGGAGGTGAAAAGGCCTTCAGTTCATCGTCCGGTGTGAGGTTTATAGGCTGAATGGGTGAATGGGTGAGCCCGATTGGGTGCTATTTTAGGATGTAGTTGGCGGTACAGCATCGATGGAGATTCCCAATTTATGCGCTGCATGAGTGCATCTCGAGAGTCCCTTCTAATGGTTTACTTTACCGCAACGTTCAGCTGCATCTAGGTCTCAAGGTCACTGTTGTTTTGGCATCTCCGCGTTGATTCATTAGCTTTTGTGTCTCGTCACTGACAGGAGGAGGCGGTGGGTTGTGTGTGCAGACACGGTGTGCAGGGGCGTGTCTGTCTGCGCTTTACCGAAGTTATGCTTCCGCCGTTCCGCTTGCGTCTCTGTGCGACAACATAGTTTCTTTTGCAAACATCTTACGCATTGCAGCCAACGGCTTATGAAGAGGCGATGTCTGTAAGTTGCTTCTTGAATTGCTGTTTTTGTCAAAAGATATCCCCGTGTTATGCAACTCATTTACGTTTAGTTGAACTCAGATAAATGTATGACATCACTAATTGGAACAGTGGCATTATTTTTGACAGCTTTGCGTTTTTCGGGACAATATTAGGAGAACATTTGAGCTTTATCTGGAACCGCGTGACCAATGTGTCTGAAATTAAGTGCCGGGAATAACTCAGACTTTGAAGTTGCAAGGGATTCAGGTTTCAGGTGCAAACCAACGCGAGCACATAATTGTAACATTTAATATTGTATATTCTTACGCATCGAGATCAAACGTGTTTTGCAGTCTGCTCTTTTATCACTTTGTCACGCTGATGAAAAACTAGTCCACATGAATTCAAAATGGCTTGCATCGTACGGCATGCATCCATTGGGCGGGGACTTACGCGCACCTCAGGCAGCACAACAACAACTGGATGGCAACTATCCATGTGGCCGTCCTGTTAGAGGCGCGTGCAGTACCTGCATCATTCTTGCAGCAAACTCATCCGCGCCGTTGTGCTTATAGCGTAATTGCATGTTTACAAGTAAGACTGTTTGTTTTTGGCATAAATTTTACACAGATATTGGTCAATGTGAATTGTTCATTATCAGATGAGTCGTTGAATACGTTTGAATGCTGTTGAGTACTGTTGATTATGATTATGTTTCTTATAATTGTCAATGCCATGGCATAGTTGAATTGAACAAACGTGGTGAGACGCTGAATCAGGCCGAAGCTGGTTCACACCGCTTGTGCATCACACAGGTCAACACTGAAGCAACCTTGACATGCATGTCAAGCCAACCTTATCCTCGTCATATAGAGTCGTACTTGTTCTCGACGTCAGGTAACACGTAACAGCTGAGCGGAAAGGCCTGAGATGTTAGCTCAACAAGCCCCGAAATATGGGAATAACCGAAGTCCTTCATTAGTGATCCTGTCCCCGCCTCCCACAACCAAAAATGCGTGCCGCTGCCCATGGCCGCCATGGAAGTGCGCCCCGGCGCCCTTAGCAGGTCTGAGGGCCGCCTTTGCATCTCTCTCCTCTGGATCCGTTCTTGCAGCACTGCTATGGTGCTTGAATTGAAGACTTTTTAAACGATACAAAATTTGTGGCATGAATCGCAGCTCATCTGCTTAGAGCCATTCCGAGTGAATATGCACAAAATGACGCTACTGTGGGAATTTCCTCAGATCTGAGACAATTGATGAGGCCTTACCCGTGAAAATTCATTCAAAAGTGGATTTACACAGCGTTGGTTGTGTGCCAATGCATGAATCTACTCAAATCTGAGTCAATTGATACATGAGCGGCATTCTGTGCATATTCACTACGTGGTGGATTTAATGGGAAGATCCGTAGGTGGCTTAAGCGGGAGAGCTGTATGTGATTTAAGCGGACACGCGGTAGTGGATTTAAGCGGAGGAGCTGTTCTGAGGAGATTCACTTATGAATCGGCGCACACGCATCCTTCCTGACACCGGCCTGACCATGCAACCTTCTGGCCACCGACATCGCGTAACTTGCTGGCGCCTGGCAGGGTAGCAGCAGACTGACGGTCTGACAAAAGACGATGACACGTGACACACGGTCTGACAAAAGACGATGACACGTGACACGCGGTCTGGCAACAGGCGATGACACGGACACCGCGCTCGGCCTTGGTGTGTTTGTTGTGGTCTGTCGCCACGCGGTGGCGCCCCTCGGAAGGGTCGCTACCACCAGTGCACCTACCGGGCTGACCATTAATTGATCGGCGACCGAGGTGACATGGGCAGTGCGTTCGCGCGCGATGTCGATGGACCGCGTGCTGGCGGGAAATGACCCGGTCGGTCGAGCCGGCGCCCCGGTTATCCCATCAGCGAGGACCAAGTGAGTGCCAGTCTGTTTCTAGGTGATGATGATTATAAGACGCATAAAATGATGATAGAATAACGAATCGGTTGCATGCAAGGTTCCGTTTATTTTCTGCTTTAAAAAGTATCGCGATGCGGTGCATTTGAGGTGGTTTTCGAATTAACACACATTACGAGAGTTATTTGCGCGCCTTTGTCACTTCCCAAACACTCCATTGGGGTCAGGACCGGTAGGCTTTGAAAGTTTATCGACCAATGATAAAGTGATTGGACCCAAAGCAGTCATAGGAGGTGAGATTCCCACCAGCGACCACCAAATCCCTCTCCTTCCCCGCCCAGCGAAAACGTTGCTTTGCTAGCAGCTCGCTCGTGCCCGACCGACCAGGCCCTCATCACGCCTCATGTACAGACTGAGAGAAGCATATTATGTGTGGTCAGGCAGCTATTCGTGAATAACGGAAAAACGGAACCAATCAAGGACAATGCACATAGGGTTTTGTTTTATTTTGCACGGATTTGGAATCTCGTCAGCAATATCTTGATCGCGATCGAACAGGACAAACGTTATGGTGACGATGTTGCCAACATGTGGTAGCCATAATTTTGACGATTCTTCTAGATTTAGTTATGATTGGTTAAATTGCATGTACTGCTGCGATAGGAAATGAGATACGACAGATTACACGAAGCGTGAAGAATACAGCTATCGAGCCCATGTACAAGGGATAAACCTAGATGCCGACCCGCTCAAGAGAAAAAGACCGACAAGCTAAAATCTGTCTGTCGACGATATGCCGTGCGATGACCGCAAACAGTATACTATTCCACTGAGTGCAGTTGCTTTAACAGAACTTAGCATGTATATAGACATATGGATGATAAACTTCGTGACCCGCGGGAGGGCAATGTGTAGGAGTGCGAATTTTGGTTGCTTGCACGATAACTCTTTTGATCAAATTGCATCAAAAGGTACACCAACAAGCGTTGTTTAATAAAATTGAAATGGACAACAGGCATTGTTGCTGGTGGACAATAAACGTGACCCTCAGGCAGGGGCTCGAGAACTGGAAGGGGGTGGGAAGCACGGGTCAAGGTCTCTACTTGACGAAAATTTAGAATCGTTTTTAAACGTGTTCACCGGTAAGGAATAATGAAAAAGGTTGTAACCCACCTTCAACTGGAAATAATCTTAATGATGTCTGTGTAAATCGGCTGGCACGATGGCAAGCCACCCTAACCACATTTGGGACAATTTTTCGAAGTAAATGCGCTTTCTTAGCAGTGCTTTTTGTCGCTGACACGGTGTACGCAACTAATAATGCGAAATTTTGAAATACTTTTGTTCGTCCGTAACGAAGCCGACAATCTACTGCGGCGTTTCCTCGTCCAGCTGTACGTCTGCCCACGCCTCAGCTAAACGCGACAGCCCGACATGGCGTGTGAGATTTCAGCGCAACGAATAGCAGAGAAAACACGGCATTACTTCACAGGCTACCTTGCATCACCTCTGCCCTCGGTTCACACTTACAGCACTCACCAGAAGTATGAGAACTATGTGACACATAGAACCAATGCAATTGGCGTGCGCTTAGAACTCAATCACTAATTAATTACGAGAGCCATGAACGCTAGCAAACCAGCGCAAGCCACAGACCACGGGCGCTTTGCCACACTTAACGCGTTGCTTATTAGGGACACAGCACCCACCATCAACATAAAAACAAATACCTCACACAACTATCACTGTACGACGTGCGGCCAACAAAATAGCAGCCTCTCATCTGCAGTCCGCACTTCACCTTACCCCACCCACCAAACCTTAGGACAAACCCCTGGACCAGTAGTGTATCAATTTGGTATGGTGAGAAGTGAACGCTACTTTCAATCGCACAGGAGTGTGTCCCGAATTATGTCGTGCATTATGCAAATCCCACGTTTTGCAAATGCCTCCAGCTGGTGTTTCCTAGGAACACAACGTGCACCGTGCTCGTACATATGCACTGTGCATGAATGCATGCTTATCGTGCTATGTTTGTTCAAGGAAATTGCTATTAAGCTTATAGAAACATCGATAAAAAGATGCGCTTCGGATATATTCAGCACTGACACGCCGAACACGTCACGTATACCATATGAAGCCTCAAAAAGACGGCCAAGGTCACAAACGCAGAAGTTGCTTTCGAATTCAACCAACAATGTATGTACAAGAAGCAAGCAAATCTAGCTGCCTTCCCCCAGCCCTCTTTCTAAAATTTAGTTACAAAATGTGGCAAGTGGCGCTGGTAGGAGGGCGAGGAAGCACGTCACGCTCCCCTTCGGTCCCAAAGAGCCCGAAGTGCCCGTCGGGAATAATAATTATTTCAGGGTCACAATGTCCTCAAAGTCCGGAGCCCGCGTTCCGCATTGCTCAAGGCCCCTGAGCAATGAGGGGGCACTGTGTCGGTCAGGGTCCCGCAGGGACTTTGTGTCGGCAAGAATTCCAGACTCTACCAGGGAAGCATTCGCCGAACAGGGACAGGGACGAGACCCCAAATGTGAGAGAGGCTCTTGCGTTGGTCGGGGCGCCCCCACAGCAAAGGAGTTATGAAAAAATGTTATGGGAGTCCACAATGATACATTGGAACGGCCATATTTCAGTCAGGTCCCCAGCACCGAACGGAGAGAGTCGTTCACCCAATTTTAGTCAAGGGCCCGTTAAGCCGAACTGGAGTCTCGGTGTCAGTTATTGGGCCCACTGAAGCGATCAGAGATCTTTTGCGTCAACAAGGGCCCCTGCATTGATCAGGGGCCAACTGCGTGATTCGAAGGGCTTTGCTGTCACGGAGAGGATCAGTGTATGATATTACACTTTTAGGGCCACTGATCGACCAGGGCTGACCCAGCGCCGGTTCGCTGGATTGGCAGCCGGGAGGCATCTCGCGCCCCTAAGCTCCCGACCGAAGTGTTCGGAACGGCCCTCAAGCCCGGGGTGGCTTTTTAATTAAGCCCTTGGCCTGGAACGACTACTAGTGCTCTTCCCAAGCAGCCACTTGCCCGAAAAAGGTGGGGGCTCTTGTGAGAGATTCAAAGAGATAAACAGTAACAGCAACATCAAAAAATAGGGATTCTCCTTATACTTCCACCACCGGGTTCCAGCTCCAGTGTGCTGTGCTGTCAATGCTAGTTCTTTCACATGGCAATCAAAAATCGCACACATGAAATATACGTCCGAACTACCCTCTAAACGCGTGAACTGATTATTTCAAGCGTCCGAAGCTACTTTTTCAGATACATCATTTTCGTCCACCCGTCGGCTACCGCCTGGCGTAAGCCGCCGGGTTGACGCCGCGCGGCCTCTGGGAACTGCAACGCCGCCTGTCAGGCGTTTGCTTTTAAGACTTGCGGCACGTTTGTTAAAAACTAAGCTATATTACATAAACCTACCATAAACCATCATTTGTTCAGAAGATGGTTCTAAGCGAATGTTTAACATTTCCATAAAAACATGAGTGGCCATGTTGATACAATCTGGTCCCAATGCGATCTACAATCTACGTTCACGTGATTGTTAAATAAACCTGTAGAGCCCAGAAAAGGCTCTTAAAGTCTCTGAGGGCTACCAGCTTAGAAAGAGATCGTTGAACTGAACCGTTGTGAAATGAGTGGTGCGTGAGGTGTATTCCATGTAACCATTTCACGCCCACTCCTTAACTGCGTTGACTTAAACATACCAACATTATTGCGTCTTCCGGTGGCTTCTGTTCTAGTATAACAAGCAAAATTAAGAATAAAACGAAGACAGTCGTGCCTCTCGTGGTCATCTTTGATCATGTCCGGTAACTCGTTTTTGAGGGGACCATTCATCATCAAGGGTCCTTCGTCAACCCTGTACCCCCTCTTACCAAGACTTTGGCTGCGCCCCTACTGTGGCTTGTGGTGTCTGGATGTAGCTTAAGCCAGTGGCTGCTGGATAGACTAGGCGTGTAGATTCAGTGCCAACTGTAAGAACTAGCCGCTGAGGTGGTGGGGCGCCGCACGGACGTCCATCCGCGTGAATAGCGGCCCTGGGAAGCACAGGAAGAGGTTGGCGGGGCACTTGGAATGGACACAGCAAAGATGGTCAGTGCGTTTGCCCGGAGCTGTCAGAAACACATTTTGTGTTCATTCATGTGTCGTGATGTTTATTTATATATGTATATATATATATATATATATATATATATACATATACATATATATATATATATATATATATATATATCGTGATGTATCGTGATGTCCATTTAAAACTGGCATGCAAGGGTTGTGATATCTACGGAAATGCGATGGACAGATTTCGGGTGTTTGTTTTCGTACAGCAGCCCACATGGATGGAGGGGGTCGTCGGCTGTCCAACTATTTCACTTTACGTGGAAACACTTGCACTTTTCTGTCCGAAAAACAGCGATCCAGGCAAGAGAGTAGTACCGGAATGTTTTTTTGATTGACCATATTTTTGATTTGCCACATGAATTTTATTCTTTCGTGCTCTTGGCCACGCTTTGTGCGCCCGGCGCTTCCTCACGCCCCGCGAGACCCTCACTCCTCAAACTCTCCGCGCATCGGCCCCGCGCCGCCGAGGACCCAACCCGACCGCAGCGCCACCTTTGGGCTCAGATGTGCAACTCGCGCTACCTGCGCGCCACCCGCAGCCGACATCCGTAGGGCTGTAAACACTACACAACAAATTTCTTATTTATTTTTGAGCGATCTTTGATTGACCACATGACAGAATTAGCATTGACAGCACAGCACACTGGAGCTGGAACTCGGTGGTGGAAGTATAAAGAGAATCCCTATTTTTTTATGTTGCTGTTACTGTTTATCTGTTTGAATCTCTTATAAGAGCCCCTACCTTTTTCGGGCAAGCGGCCGCTTGGAAAGAGCACTAGTAGTCGTTCCAGGCCAAGGGCTTAATTAAAAAGCCACCCCGGGCTTGAGGGCCATTCCGAACACTTCGAATGGGAGCTTAAGGGCGCAGGATGCCTACCGGCTGCCAATCCAGCGAACCGGCGCTGGGTCAGCCCTGGTCGATCAGTGGCCCTAAAAGTGTAATATCATACACTGGTCCTCTCCGTGACAGTAAAGCCCTTCGAATCACGCAGTTGGTCCCTGATCAATGCAGGGGCCCTTGTTGACGCAAAAGATCCCTTATCGCCTCAGTGGGCCCAATAACCGACACCGAGACTCCGGTTCGGCTTAACGGGCCCTTGACTAAAATTGGGTGAACGACTCTCTCCGTTCGGTGCTGGGTACCTGACTAAAATATGGCCGTTCCAATGTATCACTGTGGACTCCCATAACATTTTTACGTAACTCCTTTGTTGTGGGAGCGCCCCGACCAACGCAAGAGGCTCTCTCACATTTGGAGCCTCATCCCTGTCCCTGAAGCGTGACTCGGTCGGGTCGTTATGACGTAACGTTGTCATGTTTGTCGGAGTAATGTTCGGTGATAGTGACATGTTGGTTCGATGGTGTCAGATTAGCGCGCCAAGGCCGCTTTCGCTGCGCGCTGCATGTCGCTGCACGTTCTCATGGTGCACCATTTTTTTATCGTTAACTGGGTGCGTGGCCTTATAACTAATTTTAGTCCCACAAAGCAAGGTAAACTTGCTAAAACTACAAACTATTACGAATGCTCTTACTTGTTAGCCACGCATGCGTACACAGCCTGGATATTTACACGTGAGAGAGCATGTGTCTATTAAAGTGAAGAAACTCATGCCGTCAGATCACTGCTTAAGTGACGTCATCCATCCCGTTGTTTATTCGCAACCAACGTTTCGGGGAAGACTGAACTGCTAGCTATCGTCCCGGCCGCTCTCACCCATGCTCTCTCACTCACTCCCCAGCATACTCGGAATAATAGGAACGTTCCCGGAAGAGAACGTTCCTATTTAAGGAGGGAAGGGCTGTTCACTACACCGAATGATCTTCAAGATGGCTATTTCAGTTCAAAGCCATATACAAATTTGGAGCACTCCCTTTAAGAGCAGCGTTGCAAATGCCTGTGCCAACAGTGTGGCAAATTCGCACTGGGCCTCATTCCATCGGAATCGCTCACCTCGCCTGCTCCTTGGGTGGGCAGGGTGACCACACGGCCGCTAAATACGGGCGGGCGGTCCGAGTACTTGATCCGTCACATCAGCGTGCCAGGGCACCTCCCCGGAAGCTCGCGAGGCATGCGGCCCACGCCACGTCTCGAGCCCCGCCTGACGAGACCGCTGCATCCTGTCAATGCCGTCAGAACTGCGCTCTTTACTCTTGCATCGATCGGGAAAAGGATGAGTGAACTCCTCATAGGCAATTAACATAAGCTTGATTACATGATTACGGACGGTTGTTCAATCAGGTCATTTCTTCGTAAATAGTGTTTATACAGTGTGTGTAGAAAAATACCACCACAGCCTTAAAATGTACCAATTAAGACAAAGCCTCATTGATAGGATATTTGTCCTAGCATGAGTCGTCATCAGCATACATATCGTGATGGTTGCATTGCAGGTTACTTCGCGGGAACGAATTACTAATATATATATATATATATATATATATATATATATATATATATATATATATATATATATATATATATATATATCATATATATATCATATATACATTGTTCCAGCACAGTCCGCTTACTTTCGCACTTAACACAATGTGCTGATTATGCTGTTGTTTATTCCATCAATCGAAACAGAAAATATCGTAATAATGCTTAGGATGAGTGCTTATCGTGAACGGAAAATAGTGGAAGTTGCGCTCCACGACCGTGCCTCTTACCATCCGACGCAGTGCGTCTATCATCATGACCTGACTCCGATTGAATCTGGTTGAACCAGTTAGGTTATCATATCTACATAATATTTGCCTAGGGTGCGTCTGTCTGTCTGTCCGTCACGTTTTCTGCAGCGCCGTCACGGGCCGAACGGCGGGTCGCTTAATGCTGAAATTTGGGCACGACGCGCGGGTGCACGCGGAGGTTTCTACGGGTAGGTCGCCAGTCGCTGCGACCGGGGCTATGACGTGGCACGTGGTGGAGGGGCCGTTTTAGCTCCATGGGTTTTGCACTGGCGGCCCGAACATGTGACCGACGAGAAAGCCGACGAGTAGCCGTTTGAAGCCGCGCCACATTTTGGCAGCCAGGGATCTGCCCGGCCCTCACCTATTTCATGTTTCGTACTTTACTAATTCATATCATATTTATTTAGATATAATGTGTCATGATTTCTTCACATTCATCATATCTATCTATCTATATATATATATATATATATATATATATATATATATATATATATATATATGCATACATTTATTTATTTAAGGTTTATCTACTTATTATGCATTAGATTTATTACAGCAGCAAAGTCGACGAGTAACCGTGCGGAACCGCGGCTGCATCTCTATAATCAGAGGTTGGAGCGACAACAGCTTGGCACATCTCGGCAGAAATTTGAACGGGACACCATGTAGTGCGAGATGCGCGGTCGCATGCGTCATGTGTCACGTGCATAAAAGCGACCAAGATCGGGCAAGGGTGTGAAAGAGTTAATGAGACACCGCGTATATATAGAGAGAAAATTGCGATTGCGATCCTCCGCCCAACCAACTGCCCTCAAATGCTCGGCTTGCATTGCAGCTGACATCCCAGGGAGACAGCTTGGGGAGATCCACAGATGTGAAATGTATCCCTTATTAATTTGCATGCAATATCCACTGTTTATCTTCACTTGTCCTGGGATGAAAGCGCTTATTCATTGCCCCCCCCCCCCCCCTCCCCGTCGCTTATGCCGTTGTAGTGATAACATTCATGCGGCCATAAGTGGAGCTGCGCATAATTCAGAGATGGGTCTGAGTTGATTGTCCTAAATACCGTTTGAGATGCATTCATGGGCTTGTTTAAGCCTCCTCAATTTTAATGATTATGGCATTTTGTCATGTGTATCATTTCAGCATGATTTCGGGTGTATTTGGGTCGGATACTGGGAGGGACGACACGAACATTAGGAGGGCATGGCCTCTCTAAAGAAATACAAAATTTCACCTATTATTGCGGTAACTAGACTGAAGGCGTTGGGGATATTTGCACCGTTCTTGTCTTCCCCGCAGTATTCCTAGTCCACGAGCACACCCGTTCTGGTAGCAAGTTTCCTTTTGCCGAGACGTCTTGCCCGAGATTTATTGCCGCCTTGCAGATCGCGCGTCCTCTTGTTGAGGATATTTTAGACCGCGTGTCCTCTGCCGCTTTGCCGCCTGGCGTCTGTTTGTCCAAGATCGGTGATGGCCCGCGCTAACCAGCGCCTGCCGGTTCAGGTTCACTGCTGGCCTGCTGATCATCTGCACGGCTGCACTGCTGCTGCTGACATCTGACGCCGGCAGCAGATGGCGTCCGCAGCTCCCGCTCCCAGGTCCCCGCCGCGCCGCCACCGACCAGCCGGCCGGCCAGCACGGCATTGCCCGTATGGGTACGGAACTGGCTCTCAAAGGTTGTAACTTCCAGAGCATGAAGAAGCATTTCAGACAGCGCATTACTAGCGCCAAGCCTTGCGCAGATAGAAGACTTGTTATGCGTTGCATGGATGCACGTCCGTTAACGAATTGAAATGCTAACTTCTTTTGCTATCTGTGTGGAAAGACTTAACCAGAAAAGTATGACACTTATGTTTGAGACGGGATAGAACGCCTGCAGTGCCCTACAGACCTATGAGCATTAACTATGAACATAAATAATTAATTGAACCTGCGAGTAATAACCTTCTCTAATCTGGGTGGTTTTGCTTTAGGTTTCACCAGCCTTCTTTGAGCTAGAAGGGTTGGTACTACCCGGAAGGATTTTGCTTGCGATGCACTAGGGTGCAGAGGCTGAACGGCGGACCATCACGTGATAAACAGCTTTCATCGAGTTATTTTAAGCTATCGCCTACACTTAACTAGTCGAATTGGGTCAAATGAGATCACGTCGCCTTTTTTCTCCTCTAAGTATATGTTTGTCTTTATAGCTTTTCGTACAGTACAGCTGGCTATAATCGCAGTACGTGATCGTTGCCCTCTTAAGGCTTGCATGATCACCTGAGGTTATTATAAACGCTTCTATGACTTCGACTTTGCATGACCTTGCGGTTATGATATTCATGCACGACGATTATGCCAGTGCGGTGAAGCAGCCAACCATCATTAGGATATAAAGGATTTACAAGGATTCTCTAGATTATTGCGCAAATTTAACAAATTTGCAGTCATATGGGCTTGTGAGCAAACGAATGCGTGGCTTACGCCACGGCATCAGTTTATCTGATAGCATGGGTACGGAACTCGCGTTCGAAGCAGTGTGGATGTATTCAGAAATGGGCTGATCTCAAAGGCTGTAACTTCCAGAGAATGAAGGAGAATTTTCAGACAGTGGACTGCTAGCGCCAAGCCCTTCGCCAGTAGAAGGCTTGTATTCGTTGCATGAGTGTATGTACGCTAAGGAGTTGAAATGCTGCAGTGTTAGACATCCTGCAAATGCCGATACCATGCTTCACCAGATGGCACCAGTGTCGGCATTTGATCTGATGTAGCTTTGGTTTCAGATACACCTTGCAAAGGCCATTAGCATTGATGGTATCTGTTGTATAACCACCTCACAACCTTCAAAGCCACAAAATATTAACGTCTGTTGCATAGACAACTACGAGTGCGTCGTGGAATGCTAATTTTCGGGCTTATCGCCGGCAGGACTTTGGAGACGAGATCATAGATTCGTGAACTTAGATGGAAATGAATTTAGGACACGAGTGAGCTAAGATAAGTTTCTCAAACTTAGGTGGCCAAATCGTCCCAGCATGATGACTTATTCCCGAGTTACGTCCGAAGTTCAGGGATGGGAGATTGCACCCCTCCCTGTGCTGGCAATGGTTGAACATAATGCCGAGATTATACAATTTCATAGATTGACCTCACAGAATCTAGTTTTAGCACATTCCGCCTCTTTTGAGTCGAATCTATCGGTGGATTTGTATTTTTATGACACAATACCTACAAAAAGACGGTATTTAAAAATCTTCGACAATACCTAAAAAATTATTTAATTCACCTTTTCACAAATAAGCAGATTATTTAGGCAGAAATATGCCATAAAGTCAAATATTTTACGAGAAATAAACCGCGCGGACTCTACGCATTTCGGCCCAGTTTCATACAAACTGGTATGCTTGGCGATCATTAATTGTTGCCACTGCATTTGCTTCGCTATAATATGACATACAAAGTTTCAATCTCATAATGTAATGCTAGCCCAGATGTTTTGGAAATTTGCAGTCTAGTCCAAACAAAGGAAAAATCTGAGTCTATGGATTTGTCGTTTCCGTCGACAGCCCCAGGCAACAATTGATTCAGCATGGGGCAATTCAAAGGACGTTCATCCGCAACAAAACGGTGGCCACTGACACAAAAACGAATCACGTAACAAATGGGGGCACCGGTAGCGCCACCTATAGCTGACTTATTAAGGTGGGCGTGATGGATCAAGCTAGTTCGCACCGCGACCGCAGCGCAGCGGGTCAATCCACATTCCAGCCGAGCCTATGACGTCACATCACGGTCTACAAGCCGTGCGCGGGAATCTGATGGCGTTTTCCCCCTTCCTCACTTTGTCATCCTGTCACGACCGCTGGGGTTGGGCTGGCCTGTCAACGGCCACGGCCTGCTGACAGGGGCGATAAGGCCAGAGCGTGACGGCCCGGCTGGGACACCGACTACCGGGCGAGCAGCGTCGCTCGCGCCGACTGCCGGCGAGCATCCCCGCTCTCGCCGACTGCAGGGTGAGCAGCCCGGCTCGCACCGACCGCCGGGCGAGCAGCCCCGCTCGCGCTGACTGCCGGGCGAGCAGCCCCGCTCTCGCCGACTGCAGGGTGAGCAGCCCCGCTCTCGCCGACTGTCGGGCGAGCAGCTCCGCTCTCACCGACTGCAGGGTGAGCAGCCCCGCTCGCACCGACTGCAGAGCGAGCAGCCCCGCTCGCGCCGACTACCGGGTGAGCAGCTTTACTCGCGCTGACTGCCGGCGAGCATCCCCGCTCTCGCCGACTGCAGGGTGAGCAGCCCGGCTCGCACCGACCGCCGGGCGAGCAGCCCCGCTCGCTGCCAGTCAGCTGCGGAACACACGGCCGAGCCGCTACGGGCCGAGGCACCGCTGAGGGTCGTCCTGTTTGATGCGTGCCGTGGCCTAGTGAGGTTTGGTATCTTTGCAGTCGTGTGGCGACAACTGATTAAGACTACTGGAGCCAACCGGACGACCGCGTCTCGCCTGGTCGTGTACAACCGGGTGGACAAGTGCGGCAGCACTACAATGAACAGGCTCCTGACCAGGTAGGTGGGTCGATTCAGCGCAGGTTCAGGCAGCGCCGCATGTATAGGTGGCACCAATGGGTTTCTGAGATATATTACAGTTTTGTGGCATGCGTTATTTTTCGCTTACTTTCGACATGACAGGAATGCTTCCGTATCTCGCCTGCCAAAGGCAGCATTTGATATCAAATTTTCAAAAGAGCGCCTGTTTCTTCAGTCTTTCGACAGTGGCTGAACCCCTGGACGCAAAGCAGGTAAAGCGAACTCGGGGGCGTTACTTCTTATGCTCATATGGCACATAAGTGGCACAGATTTGGCACATTTCCATGTGGCACATAAGAAGGACGCTCTGCATCGCGTCACCCCAGCCGTAGCAAAGCGTGCACCTATTTCACTATTTTAGCACATTTTCCTGATACGTGTAGCGAGTCTCATGCAGTGGCAGCAAAGTTGGATTTTACTTCATGGAAGGGAATTTTCAGACCACACAAAGTGCTTCACATTTTTTCAAGCAATAAGGAAGTGTGCGTGTGTGCAAGGACGTATAAACAAAAAAGGTCACAAAATCAAATCGTGCCTAATCCACCGCTTATTGGCCGTAATTAATCCGGTGCGTGATTAAATTAAGTTTATTTGCTTGCTGCTTACTCCACGTGTGACTTATCTTACGTGAGCAAACATGATTTTCCCCGCCTCGTACTACATGATACTGGGGTCTGGCTTGAGGATTTCTTGCGGACTAATCAGGGATCCTGGCATGTAACTGTGTGTCACATAGGTCTAGTGGGGGTGGACTTGGGTCCGAAGAGGGTGCATCGACGGCTAAAGTCTTCGCATTCCAATCTTCCGTTTGTTCGGGTAAGACTCTGGTTTACACGAATGACATACCCACTGTAACATTTCCCGTCATTTTTCACGACACTTTTTTGACCCACGTGTTTTAAAATAATTACAATTGTTTCGGCAAACCAAACTAACCCTCGTCTGCTGATATGGGTCATTGGGGTTCTTCGACGTATTCAGCAGCTGACATACGGCGTCGCCTGCCTGTCACCCTGGTATGGACCGCGGGGATCGAAGCCTGCACAACTGGTCTCCCAGACGCTCAGCTTTGCCACTTGGCAACAGAAACTCGGTGCTCTCCATCGCAAATTATCCTTTCGCCGCATCCAGGCGCCATGAAACTATCAAGCCCAATGATGTCACGCCACGAAGCCCTTCGCACAAACGCTGCAATACCGACAACCTATAGGAGTGACCGAAGTCAGAATCAACACGGCTCTGTATGAAATTTCACTATGTAATCGCCCAGTCACGCAGTCACGCCCAGCCACGCACGCCTTAATGCAACAAACATCCCCGAGGGACAACTTCCCACAGGCATCTCAGTGTGATGAGGGTCGGTACGGACGTCGCCAGATACGGGGTCGGTACGGACGTCACCAGATACGGGGTCGGTACGGACGTCACCAGATGCGGGGTCGGTACGGACGTCACCAGATGCGGGGTCGGTACGGACGTCACCAGATACGGGGTCGGTACGGACGTCACCAGATGCGGGGTCGGTACGGACGTCACCAGATGCGGGGTCGGTACGGACGTCACCAGATGCGGGGTCGGAAAACGGTGTGTTGGCCCAAGCAGGGTGGATTGACATTTTGAAACGGCGTAACAGAAATGGGAAATGCTGGATGTGACATGCACGCTACTGAGCAAATGACTGAGAAGCCCAAAACTTTCAGCCAGATTTCACGCAAGCTCAACACCTCCCAGCTGGTGTCACGTCGCCGCACTCGAGACAGCGAGGCCGCACGCCCATAAAAGGGGCGCGCAACTTTGATCGGCCGAGGCGGATGGCTTGAAAGCTCCTAGCGCCGTCTTCGCCTCACAGCACGAGCCGTAGCAGCTCCCCAAGACGTGGGGAGACGTAACACATATCTGGCATTCGATGCGAAATCCAACCCGCTCGGCAGCCGGACGCCAGTATGTGCGCCTGCTCGGCAGCCGGACGCCGGTATGTGCGCCTGCTCGGCAGCCGGACGCCGGTATGTGCGCCTGCTCGGCAGCCGGACGCCGGTTTGTGCGCCTGCTCGGCAGCCGGACGCCGGTATGTGCGCCTGCTCGGCAGCCGGACGCCGGTATGTGCGCCTGCTCGGCAGCCGGACGCCGGTATGTGCGCCTGCTCGGCAGCCGGACGCCGGTATGTACGCCTGCTCGGCAGCGGGACGCCGGTATTTGCGCTCACTCGGCAGCTGGGCGCCGGCACGTGTGCTCACTCGGCAGCCAGATGGGGTGGCTTCTCCGACCACTGATGCCAGACGTCACCAGATCGGTTGCCCTCCGGTGTGGGCGGTGCTCTGTCCGGAGCCCTGGATGCATGCTTGGGTGCAGCGGCCCGCTCGATGACCCGCCCCGTAGCTGTCCAGAGTTTGACGGTGGAGGAGGCCATGTAGAAGCGCTGCGGCTTGTTTGGGCCCTCGCCTGGCCACCGTCGCGGCCAGGCGAGGCGCACGGGCCGCGCCGACATGCAACGGTGGCAGAATGTGGGTCAGGTTGACAGTTCGCCTTATATTGCTCCCTTCGTTGTTGTTTTGTCAAAAGTTCGAGGTGGCCGGACCCTCACGGGTTCGCTCCAGCGCGCGTGTTCGGCTTCTCTCACGACCGCGCTGCCTTCTCCCTATTCGTCGCCGATCGCTTTGCCTAGGCCGGTGGACTGCATAGTCCCGCGGGACTTCGCACAGACCAAGATTCGTTTTCCACGCCAACTGGGCGTTCGGTCTTCCGCTCCCGTTGTCGCTGGTGTGGGTGCGTTTTTTTTTTTAGTGGATGTTTGGTTTTTTAGACGCCGAATTCCCGCCGGAGCACGGCCAGCGCGACTGCGCGATCCGCTCATAAATCGCGGTGCCCTTTTGCCATCCGTTTTGATCGCCTTGCCGGGTCAACGGACGGGATGGTCTCACCGGACGTCCGCGCGGCCTAGGCTCGCTCCCCGTTCAATCGGCCGTTTGCATTCCACCTCTCCCCCCCCTCTCCCCCCGATCCGTCGCGGAACGCCGAGCTCTTATCATGCTCCGCCCGGTGCGCCTGCTCACACTTCGTTATGTGCATGCTGCTCCACCTCGTTCGCTTGATCACTCGTCCGCCCCGATAGGTCAGCTGGGTCAGTGAGGTATCCGCGCATGGGTGAGGTCGATTGGTGTTTTTTTGTGTGTTCTGCCTTGTTGTTTCTTTTTTTGTTGCCTTCCTCCTTTTTATTCATGGTCCTTTCTTTTTGTTCCGCGCGCCTCGCTGTTTAATAGGTTGGCGCGGTCTAGCTCCGCCCAGCGCACGCACTGCACGAATTCCCTCAGCGAGCGCGTATATTGCCCGTCTTCCAGCTTCCTCTCCGTTTCGCTAGGTCCGGATCGCTCTCCGGCTGAGCGATGTGCGGGGATCATGTTTAGTTGGCAAAGGCCCATCTCGTCCGAGAGGTATCCGATATGGACGCCGGAGGCTCGGTGTAGGGGGGAGCGGCGTCGCATTTTCCGAGCCGGACGGTATCCCGGGATGTTGACAAGAGGTCGAAGGGAGACGGCCTGCCGGGGTGTTGAGGCATAGCGGTGAGGTGCGCCGAGCCCGCTACATCTCGAGGGATCGTCCGTAGTTCTGCGAGACCACGGAAGGTCACTCGCGGGCGTCGCCTGGGACGGCGTTCGGAAGGAGACACGGACGCCATCTGTCAGCCGACATGGACAATCGCGGCAGAGGGTAGCACCCGGTGGTGCGGGATGGCGGCGCGGGCACCCGCTACCCGCCGGCAGATGACAGTCTCTTGCGGTGTGGATGGACGGAACAGTCCACTGCTCGCGGCCCGCCGGCAGGCGAGCAGCCCGGTGTGGCTACGATGAGGACGAGGAACCAGACAGACAGGCAGGAGACAGACGACCGTGGTCCTGCTTTTACGCAGATAGACGTTTGTGGGTAGCGCGGCTCAAGACACAGTTTCGCTCTCTTTTTTCGCAGACGGCTGACTCGTTTTATTGTTTCCCACTTGGCCCCAGGCGTGACGGCCTAAAGAAGCATTGGTCATAATGTGACCCAGGATCCGTGGGGACCGCCCGGGATGCTTGCTTGTGCATGGCGGTGGCGGAGTCTATCCGTGGTGTCCCCGCCTTGGGAGAGGACAGGGGTCAGTCTGCTCTCTTCCGACGTGATGTACGCCGGGTCTTATGAGCGATTGGTGACGGGATGTTCGGGACGGATAGGGATCCCGCCATCGACGCCCAAAGGGAGGGCGATGAGGAATCAGGTCGCCGGTCAGGCCGAGTCTCCAGAGCGCGCCGGCCGAGGAGACCGTAAGGTGTGGACGCAGGTAGCGCCGGGCGCTCGTCGTCTGCCGAGAGGCTCCACCGTCCCATAGAGCGCACTGTCTACCCCATGCCTCTGAGGGGCGCGCCGTGGGGTGGTGCCTTGCAAAGCCCGCTCCGGTGGGCGGGAGGCGAGGGCGCAGAAGTGCCGGAAGCGACGCCTCCGTGCTGGACGAGGCACTGTTTAAGGCACATGCGCGGCAGCGGGGAGCTGCGAGCGGTGGGTGTGGCCGGGTGAATGGTGGGCCGCCCATCATGGACAGAACACGGGGAGCGTCGTCCAAACAGGGAGGTCAGCCCTGGAGGTCAGCCCTGGAAGTCACAGGTCACCCTGGGGGTCAGCTGAGGGAACGAGTCGCCGTCCAGCTTCGGACACCCGGTGTCGGCCCAGCAGCTGCATCCGTGCCAAGCTGGCAAATTAACGTGATACACTTTAAACAGGGCTTAAACGTGGCTTTATGGCAAGATCGAAATGTGATAATGAATGTAACTTAACTTAACGAGGACCCACGCCGACGAACCAATTATAACGTCAAGGCGCAGGAAATAAGGGGGGGGGGTCCCACCCGTGTGCGAGCCAAGAATGAATGGGATGATGTGGGCGCCGGCGGATGTGAATGCTTGGAGTGAGTGCAGTGGGGCGCCGAGTGCACGGAGTCTGCGTGGATTAATTAT